CAAAGGCGAAAATGAGACACGAATTTATTTGTACATAAAATTCAACAGCAACCTACAGAAATGGTCGCTGATGTGCAAGAAAATAACAACAACTATCATTGGCTGAAAATTATCAACTAAATTATAATACATGGTCTATTCAACTGAATGGATACACAAGATTCTATACAAAATTTTCACACAACAAAAATTTTACGGATGTAAAATACGAGAGAAATAAATGAAAAATATTCTGCACACGGTGAATGTATGTACAACTTCTTTATTATACAAGCGGATATACAAGGGCGGTACGAACTATAAGATCTACCGAACAAATATAGATTAGATTCATGTACACGCTGTATATCTATATCGTTTTAAAATGAACGTCAGCGTTTCAGAGACGACAAACATCATGATTTAACTGAACATACGACGTCACAACAGAAATAATAACAGTAATTGAGGGAAATGGGAAAAAGAATATCGTAGGTGGCGGAAAGACGGTGCCGCCATCTTGAACCAAACAGTGACTCGGCCGCATTGCAAATACGTGGCTTGTTTTTTTTTTTAAATTGATTTTAAGACTTCGGGTGTGAAGAGATCACACCTCCCAGTCTTTTTAACTGAGCCTTTGTCTCTTGCCACTCGTTGTTTCACAGTTTATTTTTACCTCACTCTCACCAGCCGGTGTTTTTTGTGTGAAAGAAGAGACAAAAGAATGAGTTACTGGGCCTGTGTCTTCGGCGTAGACCGTGTGCCTACGTCTTCGGCGTAGACCACGTGCCTACGTCTTCGGCGTAGACCACGTGCCTACGTCTTCGACACAGACCGCGTGCCTACGTCTTTGGTGTAGACCGCGTGCCTACGTCTTCGGCGTAGACCGCGTGCCTTAGACTTATATTTTGGGCGCTGCTCAGATATGTCCGGAATACAAAACTGCGCTGCATGCGAGCGACGCAGACTTAAGTTGATGACGTAAAGTTCACAATATCAAAATTAGGTGACGGATGAACAGCAATAATGGCTTGATGATCACTAGCGCTTGAGAAAAACTTATGTGGCACCGTAAGTCTCAAATTCTGGGGCCATACTTTCAAAACTCGCCAAGTGAACGTAAGTACTTACGACCTCTTTTCTTGACTATGATTGGTGGATTTTGCTCGATAGGCCGCAATGATTGGCGGATGAACTTACGATCTCTTTTAGTGTCTGTGATTGGTGGATTTTGCTCGATAGGCCGCAATTATTGGCTGATGAACTTACGATCTCTTAACTTTTTTTGAAAGTATAGGCCCAGGATGGTATTCAAGCTGTGGAAATGCTCTAGTCGAACTGGTAACTACTCAACCAAGGTCATGACCGTCCGCTACCGACCTATTCTACAGCACGGATATGAGATAAGGCACAGTTAAAGAAGGCTCCTACATCCAGCAGAAGTCGAGGAGAAGTAGGGTTTCATACACGGGTAACAGTTGTCATACTAGGTAAATTAACGTTCAAAGTTACGTTCAGTAGGTGAGGTAAGAGACACTAATAAATGATTATTATGCTGACGAGAAACATTCTATAATTATAGCAGTAGGATCTGGAAAGAAGACGTTATTTTATGAAAAATATGATAAAAATAACTACCGAATGTCCCATTCGTGATGCGTGGGGTAGAGGCTATGTCCGGACAATAGCACCTCAATACACATATATTTCTTTACCGTCGGCAGGCTTCAATCTCAGTCAACTATGTACGACAGGCAAAATGTCGGTCTGCTTGAAAACTAATGTTCTAATTATACGAGGAATTCAATTTCCTCGTTTGGAATGAACAACGTTAAAATCGAGCATTAATGTAATGTGAAAGAAAAAGAGGAAATGGGTGACGAAATTCATAACTAAAAATGGATCTATGATATGTTTTCTGAAGTGTCTTGAGATATGCAATAAGGTAGGGCGCTGGTTGGGCAGACAGGCATAGAGGCGCTACACTGCGCATTGATGTGCAAGATTTCTAATGAATTGTCGACAAAGAAGTTTCTCTTCAAACACCGTTGCCAGAATTTCTAAGAACAACATTAATTACAGATTTGTTACATTCATAACAAATCTACAATTTCTAACGGATTGATTTTCAATATTTGAATTCGGCAAGTGAATTTAGAATAATTAATCAATCAATTTTCTTCTCTGAAAACACGAAAATACCTAAAATTTTAGAAATTTTCATTTTCCAGAAATTCTATCTATAGTTTACTAACGCTAATAAAATAAATTTATTTTCATTTGTTGTCTCGGCAGAACAATCCTCTACCAGTTATCCGGACGACAACAGAAAACTGAAGTTCATGGTGCAACATTTCAAACTAACCAACAAAAATGCAAGCTAAAGTTAAGTTAAATCAAACAAACGTAGGAGTTAATTTAGTAAATCATCATTTGCCATCAAAAATAAGTAAAGAAACGGATTTTCTACTGTGGTACGGAATTTTGAATCTCAAGTCAGGAGTAACATTTAAGTTTAGGACCGATAGAGAACAACACAACATTCAACAGCGTGCAGGGAACATACGATAAGGTTCCACATGATCAGTATTTTGAAAAAAAAAAACAATACCAAAAAAATGAGAAAAAAATTAATCATGAAATTGCAATCCAAGTATATTATTTCGAAGAGGTAGTCCGGAAAAAATTACTCTTGGAATGAACCAGTTCATTATCTATAATTTGTAACAACCACCAGCAGAGCGTCTCTCGTCGCTATTCACCCTTAATTTTGGCGAAGAGCATGACGAAAACGTATGCAATTGGCGATAAAAGCGTTATTATCGTCACATCAGCGATATTAAATACAGTTACAGCCGTGCCAGAGAAGACAAGCGGAAAAATATTATGCATGAGTAACTGGAAAAAAAACCGCGCTTCGATCACAATGATTGCTTGCCTGTAGCCATACGAGAATTCTCATGCGGTGAGAACTGAAAACGGTTATGGCCCAGAAAACGATGGAGCTTCGTAATGAATGCTAATAATGCAATGAGTGGCACATAAGAACGATAGGATTCGCATCGTACAGGGATACTGAAGGTCTACAGATTGCTATGTGCAGGAATCTTTACCTCCAGTTACATGGAGTATTGAGGGAGCTCGTAGACCGGTAATGAATGATAACAATTCAATGGATTGGGTGGCACATAAGAAGAACGATTCGCATCGTACAGGGATACTGAAGGTATACAGATTAATATGTGCAGGAATCTTTGCCTCCAGTTACACGGAGTTATTGAGTGAGCTCGTAGGCCGTGCACAATATACATAGGTTAAACGAGCATTTAATTGAACAATTACACAATTAGGATATCGTACAAATGAGCTTAAGAGTATAAATCTAGAGAAAATATTTCTTTCTGGCTACGTATTTTCTAATTAGGCTAACGAGAGGGAATGTCTATGCCGTTATATTAGCGCAGTACACGAGTTGGCATGAGAATATACAGCCGTGGTACTGAAAACATTGCAGGTACGAGAACAGGACATAGAGAAAACAACGACAACAGTGAAGACAGTTCTATGACGAACGGACAATAAAACTTGTCCACAAAAATTTTGACTTTCCCAAGTGATTCATTTGAGTAGCACAAATAGTCGAGGAACGTGGCAATACAGCGAGCGAGGAACCAAATTAGAAATTAGGATTGACTCGTTGCAACTGCGGCTCATTAATTAAAATCACCAATAAAACAGAGGCAAAAAGTAACTTCCCCAAATGATTGTTGTGGTGGTGCCTGCATCTTGGTAATAGTCATAGTCACAAAAAAAAACAACCAACTACCTACTAACAAAAAATAACTACCAAAAAATAACTACCAACTCTGCATCAGTTGGGACCGATTCATCGATAGGTAGGAGCCAATATGAACTCTGAATAGTAGAATAATTATATAATAAATTTACGCATTCTGAACATTAATAAACGGGAGCAGTTTGGTTGCGAACGAGTTTCGAACTTGCTGCACGTGATAAATGGTATTTTGTCAGCTTGTAATATTTGAATGTAAGGACATTCCTACACTGTCAATGCTTAAGTATAATTTGAATAATAAATTACCCACGCAGAGAAAATTGTCACAGAAATAACCCTTGCAACAAAAACTGTGAAATATTAAATAATAGCCGCGGTTATAACCATCAACAGCGAAATTATAATCGTTAATTCAATTCAACATGGAGCTTTAATTTTCACCCGTAGATTTGGCCTGGGACAGCGAGGCGCCATTTAATTTGCCGCCGAAACAAAAAATTACGCTAACACTTGAGGCACTGCCAGAACGCTGATCTAGAGCCTCAGAACCTGTACAGATTTAGGAAAGTCTACGGTCCAGTCTTTCTTTTCATGGTGGGGCTACTTGGAGAGCTGAATGTGCTGACATTGTGTACGCGAGGGATCTGCTATTCTCACATGACACCTAAAGGAGCGTAGCCAATATGAGTCGAACGGGTGTATCATTACTAGTTCAATTCCATCCCCATTCATGACAGCCTTGAAGCATATAAAAAACTATATACTTTGCCGATATAATGCATCCTGAACTTAGTGACTTACAAGGTGTTTTTGTAATAAAACATCTTTCCAAGTGACAATTTTTTCTATGTCGAGGTTGTGGATATGACGTGGCAGACGAAAATTTTCAGTGGAATGGAAATTATTGAAACAAAGCGATACCTAATAACGACGTGAGACGGAGATTTGTTAACCAAACCTGACGATCGTAAACTGAAACACGAATGTACGATCGTCGTACAACTTACGACAATTGTTACACCCGTTAACTCCCCCAATGAATTACTGGGCCGTTTGCAAGCGCTATGTGTACACTGTTAGAAAAATTATCGTTAACGGTATTACCGGCGTTTCAGTGGCCGGTCGGCAGGTGAAAAGAAACACTGTGTCGCCGTTTTTATTCTAATTTAACACTAGAAATCCGTAAAACATCTGATGAAAACGGCGAAACAGTTTATTTTCACGGGGCGACCGGCCACCAGAACGCCAGTGGGACCGTTTTTTCACCGTTTTCTCTAACAGTGTACGACACGAGTCGCACCACAAGAATGCGAGCCTCCCGAAAGACAGGCCTTAAAGGTAGATTAAAGAAGAATACTACTTGGAAAAGCTCGACTCGTCTTCCCTTCTCATTAAAATATCACACGTAAACGTACATCACGGTTTCGATGCCCCATTGACTTTATAAAGAAATGGAGGCAACTGAGCAGCAACCGATGATGGATCTGTTTCATACTTGGAATCTTTGGCATAAGTTTGGAGAGCTGAAGAGGCGGGCGTGGAGGCAGCTCACACCGCAGACACCTGCGCCTCATCTTCGTCTTCTGTAAATATAAAAAAATAACTACCAACTAGAAAAAAACCAACTAACTACCAAGTAACAAAAGCCAACTAACAAAAAAACCAACATACAAAAAAAAAAAACTAACTACCAACTAACAAAAAATAACTACCAAAAAATAACTACCAACTCTGCATCAGTTGGGACCGATTCATCGATAGGTAGGAGCCAATAGGAACTCGGAATAGTAGATTCATGACATGATAAATTTACGCATTCTGAACAACTGAATGCAAATATGACCGAAGGTGTCGAATAGTAAAAATTCAGTCACAGTAATATATTCACGAGTTTGTTACGCATTCTGAACAACTGAAAAATGAATTTAAAAGCAAAGAAAACGCCAAGAAAATTCACCATATCGATTTGAAAATATCGATATGGTGAAAATACGTTTTCAATATCGATATGGTGAATTTTCTTGGCGTTTTCTTTGCTTTTAAATTCCTTGTGAACTTGCGATATAAGCAGACTAATAATTTCAGAACTGAAAAATGAATACAAATATGGCCGAAGGTTTCGAATAGTAAGAATAGTAAGAAAGAGCATATGTTTAGTCTTAAAATGCCTCGTACCCTACGGAACAACTGATATCTAGAATCGATTTTAAATCTACCGTCCGTTGAAAAGATCTGATCTAAAGGCCAGTCTAGTCAAGAAAAGCACAAGAATCGGCGACAGGCCTATCCAGGCCTACTCTTTAATGCCGAAGATACTATACTATACTAAGAATTCAGTCAGAGTAATATATTCACGAGTTAGCCACCATTTCTAACCATGTTGTGGAGCAGTAGCAGTTCTGTGTGGAGGCTGCGGGGCAGTGTTGTGGTAGTACTGCACCGCAGCGTCCTGGGACATGGCACGCCCCATCTGCTGCAGTTGACGCATCTGAGTGTGCGGGTAGTCTGGTGGCGCTACAGCGCTCACGCCCCGACGCCGCGGGGGACAACCTGGTCCATGAAAACGTCATCATCACCAATACTTAATATAATATATACTGTGGGATGAAACAATGAATTTTAGCGATGATCGGAAGAATTCTTCAGTATTAGAAGACATAGAAAACATGGGCTAGCCGCTAGCGTATCATGATTTACATTCAACACAAAATGAATAACGAATAATTTTCAAACTCCATGTAATATTCGACAGTTACCGAACCGTGGTCAATAATTTTGCGATGCACATTTGAACAAATCTAAAAATTTAGAGCGACACTAATAAATTAAAAAATATATGTAACTGCACTCCATGCGAAAAAGACCAAGAAAAAGAAGACTTAAGCATATAAGAATATAATGAAATCGTATGATCAGCCAACACAAGCACAAAAAAAAAAATTCAAGACAATGCCAACGATATATAATCTGAATAAGCGTAAAATGATTAACATGGTTGGTGGCCTACGGATAAGCGTAAAATAAGGGCGTTCAATAGCAAACATTTTCAAGTGTACGACACGCAAGAACAGAACACGACCGATTAAGAAAAACAAAAAGGCTGAACCATACAAGTAACCAGAACGAAGTTGGTCATGAGAATCAAGGAACGAATGATTGAACGGAGCAAAATTAGACGAAGTGAAAGGAAATTATCGTGAATAGACAAAATAACGGACATACAATAGAGATTAAAGAATTATTTAGGAAACGTAGGCCGTAGCTTACGTCGCACTAATGTCCTAGCTCACCTGTGGAGGATTTGTAGCGAGAGGAAGAGGAGGAAGAACCTGAGGTCTCAGAAGTCCTAGCTTACCTGGAGGATATGTAGCGAGAGGAAGAGGAGGAAGAACCTGAGGTCTCAGAAGTCCTAGCTTACCCGGAGGATTTGTAGCGAGAGGAAGAGGAGGAAGAACCTGAGGTCTCAGAAGTCCTAGCTTACCCGGAGGATTTGTAGCGAGAGGAAGAGGAGGAAGAACAGCTACAGCATTCAGGAAAGGCGGCCTTTCTCTCCGTGCATCTGAGAAGACCCGTGCATTGTTCACTAAAAGTTCGTAATAATTACCAGGCTTATCGTCCATTGTAGCTTAATACGTTCAAAACATTTCATCCACCACGTTATATGAACAAGCAACGACAAAACTGCTAAACAAGCAACAAAATAAAGCAAACTTGAAGTTTACAATTACAATTCCCACTGAAAATCAATCAAGATAAACAATAAATATTAATACTTGGAAAATTCTAGACATGAAGAAAAAAAATGTATGATGAAAAAGAATACACAAAAATATACAAACATAAAACGGTGGTTTTCTGCACGTCACATTAAGTATTTTAACGAGAATCAAGTTGTACCGAGATAAGTTTAAAGAAAAAGATAATAAAATAATTTCGAAGTATTGACTGAAAAATTCTGTAAAATCAAATCGCGATTTCAACATTAAAATTGTACCAAAACAAACAACGGACGTGACACTGTTACGCAGTGAGAAAATCATAATCATTCCATAAAGAAAGTTTCTACTTGAGCTATACATTATATAAGAAATATATACTTGAGCTATAGAAGATTATATAAGAAATGCAGCGTGTATGGCTGAGTCGCTTCTTTGGTATCCTGATCTGGGCAAGTCATTCATAACAAAATATACAGACAAACACAAATATACAGACAAAACATAGCATACCAGGTGCTACTATACTAGGTGCATGATAACTATTAAAAAGTAGATTTTTTGGTTACAGGAGAATATTTGACAGGAGTATGAACAAACATACATGGATTGAATACGACATACCAAGCGAACAATAAATAAAGTAGGGTTAACATACGACATGTATACAGATGCCAACACACTGTTTGCACGACATGTACTGATGATAACACACTTGTCGTATAATAAGGTACATGTATTGGTCCCAAAACAAGGAGCAAACAACGCCTGTACCAGTGATGCAGGTATCAGCACCAGTATAGGTACCAGATGCAGGTATCAGTACCAGCACAGTACCAGATGCAGGTACCAGTACTACACCAACGATGCAGGTACCACTATAGCACAACTCACCAGGTTGCTGCGAGTATCTCCTGTGATGTGGGGGCGGTGAGGGGGGCGGTAGGAAGGGAGCGGTGGAGTGCGTTGGGTCGTCCAGGGAGTTGGAGCTCTGGCAGTCATACTGCGTCGAGATGCCAGAGTCTGTCTCGCACTGACTTACTGCCGCACTCTCTCCTGTCATCGAGCCTAGATAGTATATCATAGTGTTATATTACTATAGTCTATGTGTTAGTACAGCATAGTTATATTACTATGGTATACTGGCAGTCATACTGCGTCGAGATGCCAGAGTCTGTCTCGCACTGACTTACTGCTGCGCTCTCGCCTGTCATCGAGCCTAGATAGTATATCATAGTGTTATATTACTATAGTCTATGTGTTAGTATATCATACATAAAGTTATATTAATATGGTATAATGGTATTATATGCTGCGTCGAGATGCCAGAGTCTGTCTCGCACTGACTTACTGCCGCGCTCTCTCCTGTCATCGAGCCTGGACATGTTAGTCTATGCGTTAGTGCATCATAGTTTTATAAATATGGTATACTGGTATTATGCAATACAATAGCCGGTACAATTATATTGTTGCATATATGAATTACGGATTAGAAAGGATTAGCTCTAAAAAGTAGTCGTTCTACAAAAGAAATAAAGGTGAAAAGAGTGTAATTAATAAGTAAAAAATTAATATAACTACAAAAGCAAATCGAAACAAATAGTTAGGTGTAATTTTACAGTCATTTTCAGTGGTTACAAGCATTCAACAGAATCCATTACCTACAGCTAACGCCATCTATGTAAAAAATTAGAACTTACAAAAGCTATAACAGCTAAAAAGATTTGTTAATACATATTACATATTAGTAATATTTTACTGGTCACATAGTCTAAAATTCAAAGGCAAAACTGTAGATTACAAGATATAATTTCTGTAAATTGTTTCAGCATGCAAAGTCATCCTGTTCTGGGCCTATACTTTCAATAAAAGTTAAGAGATCGTAAGTTCATCAGCCAATCATTGACGGCCTTTCAAGCAAAATCCACCAATCATAGGCAAGAAAATAGAGCGTAAGTACTTACGTTCACTTAGCGAGTTTTGAAAGTATGGCCCCTGGAGCTCTTATTGATCGAAGCAGTAAACATTGCCTACCACTTTATCTTCGAAATTACCAGGTTGAAGAAGTTCAAGAACATATCAATATTAATTCCAATTATTTCTAATTAAATTGGGAGGATATACATAAAAAATTATTTTAGAGTAGGGAAATAGTAAACTATTATTCGCCTCACATTTAGAAATTTGAAATGAAGGACCTGCCGGGGTGGAAAATTGGCCCGTGAAATCAAGAGCGGAGAATTTCAAAATTAAAATAATTGATTCAATTAATTAATTTATTAATAACTAAAAATAATTGATGAATAGAAAAAAAGAGTTAAAATAATGATTTACAAAAAACGATCCCAAGTGAAGCACATCGAACGGTTCAAGCTTCTATCTTCGATTTGAACAATCCCGACACTGAGGCATCATATTTGTACGAAAATAAAAATGTTAGCTTAAACAAAATTATAATCACCTTATCACAATCCTGACAGCAAACAGAAAGTCGCATTGTTCTTGAGTTATTAGAGAAGTGGTTTTGCGTAGCATAAATCGATGAATTACGTAGCTAGATTTGAGGACTTGAAAGCTTTGTTAAAAGCACGAGACAAACTTTCAAATACATTCAACAGCGACTACGCAAAAAATCTCATCCCACGTATTTATTTATTTATTAATACGTAATTAATATTAATAATATTAATAAAAATTAATATTATTTATTAATCCCACGTTAGCGCTCGATTCAAGCTAACAAATTAATATTAAAAACAGCCCCCATGCAGTGATATTTATATACGACTACGGAGATCAAGATCAAGGCTAATTGTAAAGCTTACATAACGTATTCTCGAGAACTGAGAGACTAGAGTATTGTTCTGTAGAGAAGTTGGTTTCATAAGTTTAGCCGCAATAAATTCAGTAGCGAAAAGAATACTTATACGTTGAGTTAAAAAAAAAATCTGGCTTTTAAAAAAGCCTTTAAAAACCCCACGATTGAGCTGTGATATTTCAATATACGATAAAATGTTAGAAGTTCAGCCTATATTATTTATCAGCCGATAAATATTCCTATCGCACGTAAACTTTATCATAACAAATGATATAGAAAAACCTTGTACATATATGAAAGTGTTATTTCTTGCAGCGCAATCTACATTAATTTCTATTAAAACTTGACCAGTTGGTTAACGTCCCGGAAAAGTATAAAAATGAATGAAACATCAACTACTGCATTGCACAGCAATTCTTCCACGATGAAAAAACTGATCAGAAATACGTACGAAGATCCTGTTGAGTTTCGTGGGCCATAACTTGATTCAATTTACAGTTAGAAGCCACATTTCCGAACTCAAACGTGTAATTGTCAGGCTCTTCATCGGCGATGAAAACATTTTCCGGCATCGGGCTCGCACAAAAACTTGGAAATTCGTCAGCTGAACTGTTTTGTTTGGCAGGCTCGGTATTGCAATGCATTAACTTGCGTCCTTCGTAGTTATTCGAGTAGCGAAAGTTTCCATCAACGCTGTCACGAAAACTCGGTTCAAAGCTATGGCTGGGACAGCGATTACGATGTCCGATGTCTTCCGACAGACTGTTCTGAGACGTACGAGAGCAGCGAATGTTTCCATCAACGCTGTCACGAAAGCTCGGTTCAAAGCTATGGCTGGGACAGCGATTACGATGACTGATGTCTTCCGACAGACTGTTCTGAGACGTACGAGAGTGGTACTTATTCCTGACTCTGGTAGTGATGGATAGCAGATGAGAAGAAAAATATCGTTTCGGTGCGCTTTGTCTCCGTTTAACTTTTGACCCATTACCTCCCAGTTCTCCCTTCGTGTTCAGCTTTCCAATAGGTACTACTGATTGGTCTCGGGACACAGTCATGTTCTTGGCAATATTTCGCTCAGAGTTACAGTCATCTTCTTCTTCTTCATCCACGGAAGAAAATTCGGAAGTTGACCGAAGGTTCCCAAGAGATTTGCGATCGGTTATCACATTCTTCATCGTCCCTGTTTCAGTGACCAAAAGAGAGTGTTGTGGACACGGTGAATTGAGTACGTTACCAACATTATCAACGATAGAAATCTCCCTGAAGGGGAATTGTTCGGGTATTTTATTCGACAACATCGAATCATATTTACTACGACTTGCCTTATCTAACCCATTTCCATAGATAACGTGACTACCTTCTAGAATTGTATTAAAACTCGAATTATCTCCGCATAAATTTGAAATGCATCCATCAGAGGCAGCAGAATGCTTAATCATGGAATCATTTGCACATAAACTGACACCAGAGTCACCATATGAAGACGACACATCATATTCGCTATTAAAAATCGTTGCGCTTGCAAACGGCTCAGACAGTACAGAAGTTACGGCACGATCAGTGGTACTGTAAACGTATTTAAGAGACGCGTCCGCTGGTGAAGAAAAGTATAAGTGAACACCGCCATCGCAAGAAGAAAATTCGACGTCCGCATGGTTACCAACACCCTCAGCCTCACCTCCGGCAGAGAAACATTCAGGAAGAGTGGAAAATTCAAATCTGGAAGTCTCAAGAGTCGAGCACGGGATATCGCGAGTAGGAGGGAAGCATGAGAGCCCAAGCTTATAATCATTGCAATTAACTTTGTTGCTACTGAGCTTTGGTTCAATAACATCATTGGAATAACAATTTCGTTCAGTCCGCGTTGACGCACGAGAAATAATAGGTTTACGAGAGAAATGCGATCGGTTTGTAAGATTGTTTTTGGTTGTGTGAGCAGTTCGACGTTTTTTAACAGACTCTTTGGGTTCCGAACTCGCATCGTCATCAGAAGAACAACCACATAACTTGTCATCAATCATGCGTAAAGATGATGCTAATAACTCCTTAATTTTCGCTCTGAACTTCAACTTTCCACTAAATTTAGAACTTGAGAACTCATTGGTTCCGTCCTTAGGGAAAATTTCGAAGGATTCACTACTAACACAGAGAGACTTGGAATGACAACACGGCTGGTCAGACTTGTGTGACTTAGGTGTACGTTCTGCGTCAGTAAAATCAAGTGAAGTCGATCTAATGAAGTTATTATGAACCGATTTGGGGGCAATTTCGTCGCTTAGAATGCAAGGTACCGGTAACGAGAAAAAAGAGCCTCCAAAATTAGGCAGGAAATATGTGTGTTCCTCATCGGTGTCGATGTTCCTCGGTGAAGAGCGAACACTAGCGGACGGTAAAGAGCCAACACTAGCGGACGGTGAAGAGCGAACACTAGCGGACGGTAAAGAGCCAACACTAGCGGACGGTAAAGAGCCATCACCAGCGGACGGTAAAGAGCCATCACTAGCGGACGGTAAAGAGCCATCACTAGCGGACGGTAAAGAGCCAACACTAGCGGACGGTAAAGAGCCAACACTAGCGGACGGTAAAGAGCCATCATTATCAAGGTTTAAATAAGGCATAGCGGGACCATATACCAATGGGCAACATGTTTCACTGCAGCAAAGCGACGGAGCTTCAGAGCATAACACAGGTTCAGCACAAATAAATTTGGTTATGGACTCGCTAGTGAAGGGAATTATCTCTAAATTAGATCTCTCATCATCGGAAGGTATGACAAGTTTCTGAAAACAATGAAAGGAGTTAAGACTAGAAACAGTATTAGACTTATTTGTGAGGTATTGATCAAACAAATTAGAAGAACATAGGCTGGGTCTAGCGGGTTTACCTTGGGTTTGCAACGTACTAGCGGGTTTACCTTGGGTATGCAACTTTCTATCAGGTTTACCTTGAGTATGCAACGTTCTAGCGGGTTTACCTTGGCTATGCAACGTTCTAGCGGGTTTACCTTGGGTATGCGACGTTCTAGCGGGTTTACCTTGGGTTTGCAACGTTCTAGCGGGTTTACCTTGGGTATGCAACTTTCTAGCGGGTTTACCTTGGGTATGCAACGTTCTAGCGGGTTTACCTTGGCTATGCAACGTTCTAGCGGAATTACCTTGGGTATGCAACGTTCTAGCGGGTTTACCTTGGGTATGCAACGTTCTAGCGGGTTTACCTTGGGTATGCAACTTTCTAGCGGGTTTACCTTGGATATGCGACTTTCTAGCGGGTTTACCTTGGGTATGCAACTTTCTAGCGGATTTACCTTGGGTATGCAACTTTCTAGCGGGTTTACCTTGGGTATGTGACTTTCTAGCTGGTTTACCTTGGGTTTGCAATGTTCTAGCGGGTTTACCTTTGGTTCTAGCGGGTTTACCTTGGGTTTGCAACGTTCTAGCGGGTTTACCTTGGGTATGCGACTTTCTAATATTGGAGAGGGTTGTTACAGAGGAGCTCTCAGCACTGAGGTCTACAGGTACAGCAGGGGTGTCAGAGTGTGAGCGTTCGTGGTTAGGACGAGCGTTGATGGAGAGGTTGGAGGCGGCGTTAAGATGAGAGGTTGTGATGGTTGCTAGGCCACCGGCGAGCGCCCCTGAGATTAGGTCCCAACATCGGTTAATTTGCCAGATAGATTTGTTTTTGTTACAGTCGACGGTTAATAGGTCATTTTTTTTATTACAGTCGTCGGTTAATAGGTATTTTTTTATTACAGCCGACGGTTAATAGGTCTTTTTTTTTATTACAGTCGACGGTTAATAGGTCAATTATTTTGTTATTACAGTCGAAAAACGTCAGCGAGGTAAACAAGTAAATGAATTAATATCAAGGTTGTTGATTAGCAAGTTTATCATTGTGAAGTGATTCGTATTTCATCAACAAAAATGAATTCTAAACATTTTAAATAAATTTTTTATGATGATGTACTAGGTTTGATCAATCCGAACCGAGATTGAGGAAAAATATTAATTATGAAGCGTAAGACTAAAGCACACGTGTGAAGTCAGAGTCGCAGATGGTCAGTAAGTTTAGCTGTCAACATTATTTCAATTTGCCCATGCGTGCCAAATACATTTAATTCAATCATCAATCATTGTTGTGGTCTTAATTAAACATAATGATGATATCACATCCCTTGAGTTTAAATGAAAATTAGAAATTGTTTCGCACAACAAGAAGCTCAAAAATTATTAAAATTCTGATATAACTTCAAAGTAAATTAAAAGATTAAGTGTGGAGATTTTCTATATATAATTAATTTATTTTGTGAAAATGTGTACATATACTATATTAGTATGACAAACTATATTTAAGACCTACCAGTGGGGCCCCGTCTGGTGATACGAGGGGAGGGGCCAGGGGACAGACTAGCCCCAGTCAGAGCCAGGGGGTTGGATGCGGGTCGGGGGCCGTGGTAGGGCTTAGTTTTGGCCTCAGCCAGCGCCAGGATCTTGCGCATGGATTGTGGAGACCCAGCGCCTGCCCGGGACAATAGTGTCATGGTGTCAAGCAACCTTAGCTGGGCAGCGCTACTTTGAAATGTAGCGGCCGCTACCGCTAGATGCTCTAAATGTAGCGGGCGCTACCGCTACATGCTTTAAATGTAGCAGCCGCTACCGCTACCGCTAGATGCTCTAAATGTAGCGGGCGCTACCGCTACCGCTACATGCTCTAAATGTAGCGGGCGCTACTGCTACCGCTACATGCTCTAAATGTAGCGTCCGCTACCGCAACCGCTACATGCTCTAAATGTAGCGGGCGCTACCGCTACCGATACAATTGCTTAAATGTAGCGCCGCTACCACTACCGCTACTGAAAATGCAGCGCGCTACTGCCCACCTCTGGAAGCAACTGAACAACAAACATTATATGGGCCACTATGTAAATCAACAAGCAAAATATATAGAATGTAAATGAACGAGACCGTGGTAAGCTGTAAAAAATGCTAAGCATTGTGGCAACGATTAACGTTATAATCAAGGTAAGTTTTTTCTTTTAATTCAAATGTGTCTATGATTTTATGAAGTGTGTGAGATGGCCAGAGAATAGAATGAATTTTTATTGCTACTTTGTTTGATTTATATAGCGGTTGCGAAATTTTAACTAATGTTTTGCACATTAAACTGATTGTAAGAAAAAATTATTATTTTTATTATTTTATTATTATAAAATTATTAAATGTTCTAATTGGCGGGTGAAATAAACTGACCACTTTAGAAGAAAGCAATTTTTTAGTCAAACAATTTGTATAAAATGATTAATGAATTAGGAGTGAATTTAGAGAATAGGACAATTTTTAGCGAATTAGGATAAATTTAGTGAGTTAAGAAAAATTAGGTAAATTTAGTGAGTTAGGATAAATTTAGCGAATTATGATAAATTGATTGAATTAGGATGCTATTCTAGTGGATTAGAAATTTTTTTAGTGACTTAGGATGAATTAGGACAAAGTTATTACCGAATTTGACAGGCTTCCTGCCGTCAGAAGCATGGGATGTGGATGAGGTGGAAGAAGTGGTGGAGGGCGTGGGGGAGTGCGGTCTCCTGCGCTGGGGATTAGAGGAGGAGGGAGCGCTGCTGCTGCTCGTGTTGCTGCTCGTGTTGCTGCTCGCTTGACTGCTCATGCTGCTGCCTGATGCTACTCCGCTGCTCGTACTTGATGTCGCTCCTAAGAAAAAGCGCAAAAAAAAATTTTAATAATAATTCCTAAGAAAATATAATTTTTTAGATAATAGTTGAAGAAATTTAGGACGAGAGAAAATATTCGTAAAAAAGAAAAAGCGATACTCGATGTCACTCCTAAGAGAAAATAATTTTTTAATAATAGAAAAAGCGAAAAAATAATGTTTAATAATGATTGAAGAAATAAAGGAAGAGAGAAAAAATAATCTTTAATAATAATTGAAGAAATACAGGAAGAGAGAAAATATTTGTAAAAAAGAAAAAACTAAAAAATAATTTTTAATAATGATTGAAGAAATAAAGGACGAGAGAAAATAATTGTAAAAAAGAAAAAGCGAAAAAATAATTGTTAATAATGATTGAAGAAATAGAGGAAGAGAGAAAATATTTGTAAAAAAGAAAAAGCGATACTCAATGTCGCTCCTAAGAAAAAATATTTTTTAATAATAATTGAAGACATACAGGAAGAGAGACAATATTTGTAAAAAAGAAAAAGCGAAAAAATAATATTTAATAATAATTGAAGAAATAAAGGAAGAGAGAAAAAATAATCTTTAATAATAATTGAAGAAATACAGGAAGAGAGAAAATATTTGTACAAAACAATTTTTTTGATAATAATAATAATTAATTGAGTCGCTCCTAAGAAAAATATTTTTTAATAATAATTGAAGAAATTTCGGACGTTAGAAGATATTTTTAAGAAACAAATTTTTTAATAATGATAATAATTAAATGAATATAAGAAGAGAAAAAATATTTTTACGTTCACAAAATTTTGGATGTTTCCTGATAAGAAAAAATAAATGAGCATACACGTATTTTAGTTCCTAAATTTAAGCACAAGATCAACAGTTAGAGTGCCAAATTTGCCAGCATTTCGAATAAAACTTGACAAAAAATTTGCTAAGATCTTTTGCACAAATCACAAGAGAAAATTTGTAAAATTCTGAGAGAAATTGGTAAAATTCTAAGAGAAATTTGCAAAATTATGAGAGAAATTTGTAAAATTGTGTGTGTGAAGACCTGAAGAAGTGGCAGTAGGAGCGGTGCTGTGGCTGGCGCCAGGCTCGCAGAGGTAAGACTTCTTCTCGAGCTCGTCCTCGTCAGTAGTGACCGAGAGCTTAGCGAGGTACGCCTTCACGCGCCGTACCATCTGAGCCTGGACATGCGATATATATTTCATTAACAACAACATTTCAAAAAAATATATATATATGAAAATGAAATTCAACTACCTGGACAAACGATATGTTTCACCAACAACAATATTTAAATAAAATAGTTGGCCATAAAAACTAAATTCGACTAGGTGGATATGAAAAGAATCAACTAGTTGGATATGAAGAAAATATTCAACTAGTTGGATATGAAAAAAATCAACTTGTTGGATGAGAACAAAATATTCAACCAGTTTGTTATGGAAAAATCAACTAGTTGGATGTGAACAATATATTAAAATAGTCGGATATGAAAAAATTAACTGGTTAGATGTGAACAAATATTCAACTAGTTAGATAAAGTGAGTACTAGTACTTCTATTTCATAATTTAATTAGATCCCCAACCGTACGAGCTCTAATGAGCGTACTACAATACAACCATTCAAAGACAACTAACTCACTTTACTTTACTTTAGCAACGTAATTTAAATACCGTAACTCAACTAATTATGGCACAATGTGTTCGTAGTTTATAAAATTACCGAAACACCAGCTATCAAGAATTTCTAATAAGAATATAACAAATGTCAGTCTTCTTCGTTAAATTAATAAACACTAAATAATGTCTTGTTTAGAAGTTGTTTATATTAATAGGAGATCACAAATATTTTTCTTCCATGTTAACACGTATTTTTCGACAAAAGCAAACTTGTTTCATTTTTCTCTCTCATCAGTTACTCAAAACTATACGTCACAATCGACTAAATTTCAAGGTTTAAAATCAGTACAAAACTAAATTTAAAAAACGCACAATATCATTTATCTTTAACGCAGTTAAATAATATTGTCGAACGCAGTCTAAAATTATGAAGAAAATTTAAAAACCCAACAGATTTTGCACAAGGAAGCCCATTTCAAAATAGAACGTCTTCATTTAACATGTCAAGAGTTTTCATATTCATAGTATATACCACTCATACTAGAGCTTTTTATGAAACCCCAAGTCAGTTACCCCACATAAAACGAGCTTCAGTTCACTAATTCAAACAAGTATTTCGTTACTGAGAGACAACATCCAAATGAAACTAAATACCACAACGATATAAATCTGTACTCATCTGCTTAGATTTATTAGTAAGATTGATTTAAAAATTTTGGAAGCTCTGGCACACATCATAGTAAACAAAATATAGAAAGACTTTTTTTTAGCCACATTGATATTTCGTCAAATTCCATTTGAGTGCTAATGGTGGAATCCAGTTTACAGGAAACCTACTCGTAATTAAGTACTAAATTTCAAATTTTGACAATTTTTCACTTTTCACTTCCAGATTTTCACAAATTTTGACAAGTTTTGACTTTTCACTTCCAGATTTTCACAAATTTTGACAAGTTTTGACTTTTCACTTCCAGATTTTCACAAATACTTTGTAATAGAGAGTTATTTTCTGACCTCTTCGAACATTTTCTTCTTGTCGTGCGTGGTGGCAGACTTGTTCCTCCTCTTGACTGTGTTGTGATGTTGTCCGGCGCTCATCTGGTTCATGGCGAACATGGCGGTGCTCACGGGCTGCCCTCCGCTCTCAACCATGCTCACCAGGTCCTGTGATAACATATAAATTTGCTTTATATTAACACTTTTAAAATTAACACATGCTCACTAGGTCCGGTGGTAACACATAAATATGCTTTATATTACAACTTATTTATTAAAACTTTATGTGTAGCGAACATGGCTGTGCTCACAGCTGGCCTCCGCTCTCAACCATGCTCACCAGGTCCTAAGGTAACACGTAAATTGGCTTTATATAAGCATTTTTAAAATTAACACATGCTCACCAGGTCCTTAACACATAAATTTGCTTTATATTACAATTTTTCATTAAAACTTCATTTATACATTTACTTTACTCTCGTTATAACACTTTAATAGTGTTGCTGAAAACTTCACTCTCAATCATGCTTACCAGGTCCTGGTATAACGCATAAATTTCCTTTATATTACGACTTTCTCATTAAAACTTTATGTATACACTTACTTTAGTCTCGTTATAACACTTTAATGGTCTTGCTGAATAGTTGACCTTAACTAGTCCCTAATCATTTAATAGAGAGTCAACATCCATAAATAGAAAGTTGACAACAATTACACTGATGAAAATTATTTGAATAGATATTGACAATTAATGTAAGGTATTTTTGAACAGATATTGCATATATAAAAGTTCAAGGGTCATTAATGGCCATAAAGCATGTAGAGGTACAGCACACATTACAACATTGTAGTCAACATATCTCTTACATATGGACAAGTCAAAAATATCTCTTACATATGGACAAGTCAACAATATCTCTTACATATGGACAAATCAACATATCTCTTACATATGGACAAGTCAACAATATCTCTTACATATGGACAAGTCAACAATATCTCTTACATATGGACAAGTCAACATATCTCTTACATATGGACAAGTCAACATGTCTCTTACATATGGAGTCGAACACATGCTCTGAAGGTCTCTGATGTAGCGGGAAATCATGCGCAGAGTTTCGAAGTTTATGAGACCTTTAGAACTTTCTTCGTTGCCGTCGTGTGCAAAGCGTAGATCTTTGGCCACCACGGGGTAAAATGGAATCTGTACAGAACAAAAATAAATGTCGGGTGCATTAGTACAATTGCCTCACATTTCAATCGTTTCTTTTTCTTCAATAGTTTTTCATTTTTTGAAATTTGAACGCTTCGTGAGAAAGCATCGTCCTAGGCACAAATTTATTTATGTTGTTACCTTCGATCTGAAGATATTGGAATGATTGAATAGTTTTTATTGTTAATTATTAAAGTTGTTAATTATTTCAAGGTAGTTAACCCATATTGCTCAACCGCTTAAGACTGATATGAGGACATGAGCTGACGGTCAAAAACCTATACGACCAAGTGAAATAAAAAAATAAATTAGTAAACTATAAACAATAAATGGCGTAACACAAAATAGTCAATGCAACACCTAACAATGAACAGACAATTCAAATATTACTCAGCAACGATGCATCCCATACTGCGATAAAAGATATGAATTTGATAATTGTAACAAAATGTAATTATAACGCAATAGCCACAAAAATATGAGCTTGCATAATAACGTACACAGGGCGGTTGCGTAGCATCATCGTGAATAAGGTTCCTATATTTGCTACAAATATGAGCTTGCATATGTACACCGTTAGAAAAAGGACCGTAAACGGTAATACCGGCGTTTCAGTGGCCGGTCGGCACGTGAAAAGAAACACTGTTTCACCGTTTTTATTCCAATTTAACACCAGAAATCCGTAAAATATCTGATAAAAACGGCGAAACAGTTTATTTTCACGGGGCGACCGGCCACTAGGATGCCGGTGGGACCGTTTTTTCACCGTTTTTTCTAACAGTGTAATAACGTACACAGGGCGGTTGCGTGGCATCATCGTGAATAAGGTTCCTATATTTGCTCATATTCCTGCTGGGGTCCATGAGATCCTGCAGGTCTTGAAACAATCGATGATATTTGCCGGGCAGACGTTCCCAGGTGGCGCGCAGTCTGCTCACGCTGCGGTGGCCCAGGCCCGACAAAATAGCGAACATCGAGTTGAAGTTCTTGCATTCTTTGCATTGTCCTGGAAAATAATGAATGATTTTGATGAAATCTGGTCTGAAAAACATAAGTAACGAGTTGAAGTTCTTGCATTCTTTGCATTGTCCTGGAAAAGAAAGAATGATTTTGATGAACTGTGATAAAAAAACATAAATAACGAGTTGAAGTTCTTGCATTCTTTGCATTGTCCTGGAAAATAATGAATGATTTTGATGAACTGTGATAAAAAAAAGATGAATAACGAGTTGAAGGCCATGTGTTGTAATGGAGACCGAGCAATATATATTTATTTTAATAATATATTTAGAAAATGTAAAAATTATTTCGAGGGGTAAACGAAAATCTTGTAAACTTTTGTTGATCAGACGATATTCCAGAAATAATTACGAAAAAATTTAAAAGGAAATAAAATTGATCATATATAGCAGCAACAAAATGATAAGCTCTGGTAGTGAACAATGTTAAGTGCTTTCCAAGAACTTACTTGCTACTTTGATGAACTGCTTGATGATTTTAGAGCGCTTGACTATATTGAGCTCGGAGCAAACCTCGGTGACTACCCAGAACATTTCTCTGTTGACCAGCTGAGGGGAACGAAACATGTTAGGCTATGTTTTATACATGTTAGGTTATGTTATACATGTTACGCATGTTGAACATGTTAGGTTATGTTATACATGTCACGCATGTTGAACATGGTATGTTATGTTAAACATGTTATGTTATGTTATCCATGTTACGCATGTTGAACATGGTATGTTATGTTAAACATGTTATGTTATGTTATGTTAAACATGTTGGGTTATGTTAAACATGGTATGTTATGCTAAACATGTTAGGTTATGTTAAACATGTTACGTATGTTGAACATGGTATGTTATGTTAAACATGTTCTGTTATGTTGAACATGCTATGTTAAGGAAGAGACATTAAGAAGGGGACTGAAGGAAATGCACGGAGCTGTCAAACACTGTTAAGTTTTACTTATATACGATCTGACAGATTGAATTTTTTCTTCCGCGTCCGATCTCTCTAAGAACCTCTGGAATCAAAGTAAAAGATCTTTTCCAGCGGCCACCAGGGCAATTCCAAAATATGATTATAATATTACATGCACATGATAATATTCCCCAGGAATTTAAAAGTAAAGAAAATAGCCAAAAAGTTCACCATTTCTTATAAGAGAAAACGTTTCGGAGTCCAGCTCCATCGTCAGTTCAAAACCTAGAACACAGGTAAACATGTTACGCATGTTGAACATGGTATGTTATGTTAAACATGTTATGTTAAACATGTTATGTTATACATGTTACGCATGTTGAACATGGTATGTTCAAAACCTAGAACACAGGTATGTACCTGTGTTCTAGGTTTTGAACTGACGATGGAGCTGGACTCCGAAACGTTTTCTCTTATAAGAAATAGTGAACTTATTGGCTATTTTCTTTACTTTTAAATTCCTGGTAAATTTGCGACTTAAGCAGCCAAGTGATTTTAATACTGATAATATTCATATTGATCACACAATTCTAACAAAACTCACCTCCGCAAACTGTGACAGCGCCGGAGTGCCGTACTTGGACTTGAGTTCGAACAGATGATCGATATATTCCGTGGGTTCAATTTGTCGGAAGATGGCGAAGTCTTCGAGTGTTAATTGTATGGCCAACTCAACTGAATTGAGCTGTAGGAATGTCACCTGAGACTCTTTGATGAGCTCGTGAACGATCTCGTCAGGCACCAAATTCTGCGAGCTGGCGATGTTCTTCAGGTAATAGCGGCTGCTTAGACCTGTACGAACATTAAAAAAATATAATAGTCAACTTCCGGCACAGAGATCATGATAATAGTATTTTTATAACTAGGTATTATATTGTATAAACATAATCGTCAACTTAAGACGTTAAGACAACTTACGGCACTGATATCATGATTCGTCAGAGATAATAGTATTTTTACAACTATTATATTGTATAAACATAATCGTCAACTTGAGACGTTGAGATCATGACCACCTCAGCGCAATGGTATGAACAAAACAATTACATTGTTCAAATTGGTATGTGAAATCATACGGATTCAAGCGACCCAATAACAATTTAGCCTCGTGTATCATTTCTACCTGGTGTTTAGCAGGCAAACTAAATTGTTTCAACTTCTATGTACAAGAATTAAATTTAGTTTGATTGATTATCTGACTCTTTCGAATTTTGATTAAGGGTTTATCAATAGGGAATGGTTCATTCTGATATTATTATAGTATTTCAATTTGACCATTGGTTCAGAACTAAGAAACGCTTCTCGTCCAGAAGGAAGGAGCCATTTCATGATAACGCTTGCAAAAATCATGGGAAACACTCACACTTCTTCTATTGTTCTACCAAACCAACGAGCAAAAACTCATATGGAACGAAAACAATTCTTCTATTCACAGTCGCGGCCCAAAATTTACAAATTCATTTATATTAATTGAACAGTTGTTACAATAAATATTTTCAGACATCTATCCAATCACTGAAATATTTGCTATATTGAATACGTACCGATTCTTTCCGCAAGGTTCTGTAATCTTTCAGGCAATCGCTTTTGTTTACGAATACTCATTTGGAACGAAAACCGATTTTCTGTTCACAGTCGCGGCACAAAATTTACAAATTAATTCATGTTACGGTAATTGAAAAGGTTACATAAAATATTTTCAGACATCTATCCAACCACTTAAATATTTGCTAAATTGAATACGTACCGATTCTTTCCGCAAGGTTCTGTAGTCTATCAGGCAATCGCTTTTGTTTACGAATGCCTTCTTCCGTAACCGTGACCTCATAGAGCGCGTAATTAGAAGATCCTGCCTGGTCGTTAATATTAAATATCTGTAGCGCTAACATGACGACTTCTCGCGCCGTTGTTTCTTGGTGTACGGGCAGAAATTTGGCTGATTGATCTGAAGCTCGGTATACCTGCGGTAAAAAGATGAACCTGTTAATAGACTGAACAATTTAGATGTAAAGGAAAATGTTCGTACAAGAGCAGAGATGGTAGTATTTTAATAGGAGTATCAGGAGGTTTTCCAGCGCAGCAAAAAACAATCTTTTTTGCACCGCGGTATTGGAGGATGACCCATTTACGGTGTTCACCATCGAGGATGACACATTTACGGTGTTCAATCTTTAATTGAATCGAAACTGCCAAAATAAAACCTTAAAAACAATCGATTCTCAAAGGAAAGTAACATATCAAGACGTAATTGACCTTTGAAAACGGTATACCTAAATACTTAAAACAGTCAATGCATATGAAATAACACCTGAACAGTATAACTCATTAAGAAATCGTCAATGCTTCCAAAAATTACACCACAAGCCACGAACAGGTAAGAGAACACCCCAGAAGAACAAGAGAAGACCTTAAGGACGTGTTAAAAGTAAGAGAACACCCCTACAAGAACAAGAGAACACCCTAATGAACAAGAGAACACCCTAAAGAACAAGAGAAGACCTTCAGGACGTGTTACAAGTAAGAGAACACCCCTACAAGAACAAGAGAACACCCTTAAGAACAAGAGAAGACCTTCAGGACGTGTTACAAGAACAAGAGAACACCCCTACAAGAACAAGAGAAGGCCTTAAGGACGTGTTACAAAAAAGAGAACACCTCTACAAGAACAAGAGAACACCCTAAAGAACAAGAGAAGACCTTCAAGACGTATGACAAGTAAGAACACCCTATAATGAAGAACAAGAGAACACCTTCAGGACGTGTTACAAGTAAGAGAACACCCCTACAAGAACAAGAGAACACCCTTAAGAACAAGAGAACACCCCTTAAGAACAAGAGAACACCCTAAAGAACAAGACATCACCTTGAGGACGTGTTCAGGGAACTCCTGGCGGGTCTCCTCGTAAGAACAAGAGAACACCCCTAAAGAACAAGAGAACACCCTACAAGAACAAGACATCACCTTGAGGACGTGTTCAGGGAACTCCTGGCGTGTCTCCTCGTAAGAACAAGAGAACACCCTACAAGAACAAGAGTACACCCTTAAGAACAAGACATCACCTTAAGGACGTGTTCAGGGAACTCCTGGCGTGTCTCCTCGTAAGGACAAGAGACCACCCTTAAGAAGAACAAGAGAACACCCCTAAAGAACAAGAAAGCACCTTAAGGACGTATGACCAGTAAGAGAACACCCCTACAAGAACAAGAGAACACCTTCAGGACATGTTACAAGTAGGAGAACACCCTAATGAACAACAGACCACCCTTAAGAACAAGAGAACACCCTTAAGAACAAGACATCACCTTAAGGACGTGTTCAGGGAACTCCTGACGTGTCTCCTCGTAAGGACAAGAGAACACCCCTACAAGAACAAGAGAACACCCAGAAGAACAAGACATCACCTTGAGGACGTGTTCAGGGAACTCCTGGCGTGTCTCCTCGTAAGGTATGGCCGTGAGGTCAGGGTTGCTGTGGCTGTGGAACGCAGCGCCCCCCACACTGGATGACTGCGACGATACGCTCTCATCGCTGTGTGCTCCAGACTCCCTTGTGTTAATACCATCATAGTATCAGCGTAATATTAGATTATATAATAAAATATAATAAATAGAAATATATTATTATCGTAAATATGTTAATAACCGTAATAACAATTATTACTATAATAATTATAATATCAGCGTAATAATTTGGCATATTATTATCATTAGTTATAATATTTAAAACTAGTAACGTCAATGTAATCTCCCAGACATAATTGGTAAGTTTATTTGTAACCAGCAATATCAAATGTATGGCATTGCAAGCATTGTCACCTGAAGTATATTTCTTACAACATAAATTCTTTAATTACTACTAAAATTAAGCCTTTTAATATCCCAGCTCTGCTATGTTCTGTCGAACTATCCATATAATAGTAAAATACAAATATTATAATAATGTAATAATCTTAAATATTTTTTTTTTATGAGAGATATGAAAGATTCAATATGACTGCTCACAATAGATTCTTTCCATTGCATTAACACACAAATTTTCATTTCATAAATACACATCCAATATATAATTATACAGCCAATGTGTATTTTTAAACACACAGCCACACAATAAAAAAAGTCATTTGCTGTCACTTACAATTGACTGTTCTTGGGGAGAAGATTCTTGATAGCATCTTTAAGCCAGTGAGCTTTAAGCGTCATGAAGGCAGCCTTATGGTTATTAGGATCCTTCTTAGAGCGAGGGGACGCGAGGGTGTTGACCAGGTTGAGGGTAGACGCAAACTCTGCAGAGACGCTCTTGTTGCTGTGACCGCTGCCACTGCTCACGTCTGATGTCTTGCGGTGGTGTACACGAGGGGACGTGTTCGGGGTCTGCAGCATCTCTTTGAACGCTGCGTGGGTGAATTGTATGTCAATAAATGAATAGTGGAGTGAATACATGAATAGCAGAGTGTTAGACGAGAGGGGACGTGTTGGGGGTCTGCAGCATCTCTTTGAACGCTGCATGAGTAAAGTATATTTGAATAAATGAATAGCAGGGTGAATAAATGGATAGGGGACTAGAAAAAAGGATACGATAGTAAATAAATGAATAGCAAAGTGGTGCACGCGAGGGGACGTGTCGGGGGTCTGCAGCATCTCTTTGAACGCCGCACGTATGAGTTATATGTGAATAAATGAATGGCAGAGTGAATACATGTGTACGAGAGTGAATAAATGGATACGAGAGTAAATTACGTCTGATGTCTTGCGGTGGTGTACGCGAGGGGACTTGTTGGGTGTCTGCAGCATTTCTTTGAACGCTGCGTGAGTGAATTATATGTGAATAAATGAATGGCAGAGTGAATACGTGGATAAGAGAGTGAATACATGAATAGGGGACTAGATAAAAGGATAGGAGAGTGAATAAATGAATAGGGGACTAGATAAAAGGATAGGAGAGTGAATAAATGAATGGCAGAGTGAATAAATGTGTACGAGAGTGAATAAATGAATACGAGGGTGAATAGGAGGGTGGTGGACGCGAGGGGACGTGTTCGGGGTCTGCAGCATCTCTTTGAACGCTGCATGAGTCAAGTATATGTGAATAAATGAATGTCAGAGTAAAAGGTTGCAAGCTTTGGACCTGAACAAATATTATGGAAAACAGTGCATGGCAGCGTAAAACACGTTGATAAGAACAGGCAGCACAAGCATATCGCCATCATAAGTTTTAAAGTATTTTCAATCTCGCCACCTGCCACTAACTCGAACGATCAGCGACCATATGACACATAAATGAAAGAGAACGAATAAAAATTACAAATTATAATCCTATAATAATAAATTATAATAGAAAAAGTTGAAAATATGACGTGAACATCGCTGACCTAGAAGATTATCACCCACTCACCCAGCAGATTGTCACCACTCACCCAGCAGATTGTCACCACTCACCCAGCAGATTGTCACCACTCACCCAGTAGATTGCCACCACTCACCCAGCAGATTGCTCTTAACAGTTATCGCGAGATGACACGTAGATCGCAGTATCTCGAGTGCGCGCGCGTGTTCGATTTGCTCGAAGCTTTGGCCGTTCACTTCCAGGATTTGGTCCCCGCGTTTCAGTCCGACTTCTTCAGCTTTGCTGCCTTTCTCAACCTGACAGAAATGTTTACAAGTTATTCATGGTCCAGGTATGTTTATTCTTACTCATACTTGCTGCCTTTCTCAACCTGGAAATGTTTATAAGTTATTCGTGGTCCAGGTATGTTTACTCTTATTTAAACTTAAAATGTTCATGTTTCTTGGTCAAAGATATTCTAGGAGTAGGTATCAAATGCGTTAAAAGATTTATGTTTAATATTCATGGTACAGGTAGATTTATTCTTATTTAAACTTAAAATGTTCATGTTTCTTGGTCTAAGATATTCTAGGTCCAGGTATCAAATGCTTTAAAAGAATTGTACCGGCATCAGCTTTATAGTTGATGGTCAATGTGTGTAGAACGGCATGCGGGACAGACGGGAGAGATTCGTCATGTTATACGATAAGGTTAAAGGCACTTTAATGCAAGTTACCTTAGAGATAAATATTCCATAAGGCTTCTTCAAGCCTCCTAGTGACGGGAGAGATTTGCCATGTTATACGAAAGGTTAAAGGCACTTTAATGCAAGTTACCTTCGAGATAAATATCCCATAAGGCTTCTTCAAGCCTCCTAGTGACGGGAGAGATTGATCATGTTATAAGATAAGGTTAAAGGCACTTCAATGCAAGTTACCTTAGAGATAAATATTCCATAAGGCTTCTTCAAGCCTCCTAGTATGGAGAAATGCAGGATCTCGTCTCTAGAAGGACGCGTGAGTGTTACGGTGCGAGATCTTGCCTTCGCTGCGCACGCAAAATCCAACAGACGAAGCTGGCCTTCCATCTTGCTGCGTTCCAAGCCTTCCTCGAACTGTACGAGAAAATGAAGCGATTCAACAGTTAAATCATACTAATCATGTTCCAAGCCTTCCTCAAACCTGTCTCTTATACACATCTAGATGTGTATAAGAGACAGCTTCAAGCCTCCTAGTGACGGGAGAGAATTGTCATGTTATACGATAAGGTTAAAGGCACTTTAATGCAAGTTACCTTAGAGATAAATATCCCATAAGGCTTCTTCAAGCCTCCTAGTATGGAGAAATGCAGGATCTCGTCTCTAGAAGGACGCGTGAGTGTTACGGTGCGAGATCTTGCCTTCGCTGCGCACGCAAAATCCAACAGACGAAGCTGGCCTTCCATCTTGCTGCGTTCCAAGCCTTCCTCAAACTGTACGAGAAAATGAAGCGATTCAACAGTTAAATCATACTAATCATGTTCCAAGCCTTCCTCAAACTGTACGAGAAAATGAAGCGATTCAACAGTTAAATCATACTAATCATGTTCCAAGCCTTCCTCAAACTGTGCAGGGGTCCAGAAAATTCAACATTCAAATCATACTGATCATGTTCTAAGCCTTCCTCAAACTGTGCGAGGGTCGAGAAAATGAAGCGATTCAACATTCAAATTGTACTAATCATGCTTCTCTTACATACTCCTATAGTAAGATAATGTATTAATATAGTAATCGAAATTCTGCTTTAAACTTTGTGAACCTTGACTAACTCCGACTAAGGTTATCCTCTATTATCGTTACAGAAAATTTGATACTTTTAATCTTTGAAGAATAAATTTGGCATCCGATAGTTATCATTAACAGGACGCTAGTAACAACGTTAATAAGCCAAATGTGAATATTTTTCACAATATTTTACGGTCGTCTTTAAGATTTAGTCTGGTCAACAGAAATGGAATCGATGAAAAAATTATATGTTCCATGTCAGAAAAATTTATAAAATAATCAGTAGAATGACAAGATGCTCGAAAATCGTCAGCCTGTAACACTAAAAATTTAAATAAACTTCTTACGATAGGAGTTAAATGAGGCTAAAAAAGTTTAAAAAAAAACTTTTTAACGTCCTCAAAAAAAAAAAAAACTTTTAACCTGACGAGGTTTAAAAAATCTGGCCATACTGATAAGACTGGCGCACCTGCTCCAAGAAGTTCATCATGACGTACCTGCTCCAAGAAGTTCATCATGACGTACCTGCTCCAAGAAGTTCATCATGACGGGGTCCATCTCGAAGTCAGTGAAGTGGTTGTTCACCCACAGCAGAACCACCCGCGTCACCAGGTTGCGCAGCGACTGGTTCTCGAACCTGCAAACATTGAATTGAATTTTTGTTCTCGAACCTGCAAACATTGAAGAATTTTTCAACGTCAGCTTTTTGAAGCAGAACTAAAAAACTTACAGACTGGTTCTCGAACCTGCAAACATTGAAGAATTTTTCAACGTCCGCTCTTTGGAATAAAAGTAAAAAACTTTCAGATTCACCAAACATTGACCATTGACCAATTTTTCAACGTCAGCTCTTTTAAGCAGAACTAAAAAAACTTACAGATTCACCTAATCTAGGGCCATACTTTCTCAAAACTCGCTAAGTGAACGTAAGTACTTACGCTCTATTTTCTTGTCTATGATTGGTGGATTTTGCTAAAATGGCCGTCAATGATTGGCTGATGAACTTACGATCTCTTAACTTTTTTTTAAAGCATAGGCCCTAGACATTATCGTATTGCTACGAGTTACAAAAATATCTCAAGCACTCGCCACTGTAAAAGTTATTCAATCACCCTACTAGTTAACGATTACTATGTCAAATTTGTCGCATGTAAAAGTTATTCAATCACTATACTAGTTAACAATCACTATACTAGGTAACAATCACCCTACTAGTTAACGATTACAATGTCAAACTTGTCGCATGTAAAAGTTATTCAACCACCCTACCTACTAGTTAACTTATACTAGTTAACGATTACAATGTCAGACTTGTCGCATGTAAAAGGTATTCAATCACTATACCTACTAGTTAACAATCACTATACTAATTAACAATTACAATGTCAAACTTGTCGCACGAGTGGCACTCACCACTGCAGGAGTTTCTCAGCCACGACCAAAGGACTCTTAAGGAAGGTTCTGTGCGTGAGCAAGAAGTCCTCCACGTAGGTAGGATCTATGCAGTTCTCGACCTCGATCAGCTGCAGCATCAGGCGCTCAGGAGTGCCCTGTGAACATTACAATTAAATTTAAGTCATTTCTAATTGATCCTACTGATATGAGTACTAAATACATATTAATTTATGTCATTTCTAAGATTCCAATGATACCTATGACATATGAGTACTAAATACATATTAATATAGGTAAGTCATTTCTAAGATCCCACTGATATGAGATATAAATAGTAAATACATACGTATTAATTTAAGTCATTTTTAAGATTCCACTAATAAGAGTACTAAATACATATTAAATTCAAGTCATTTCTAAGATCACTCTGATATGACATATGAGTACTAAATACATATTAATTTAAGTCATTTCTAAGATCCCACTGATACGAGTACTAAATACATATTAATTCAAGTCATTTCTAAGATTCCAATGATACCTATGACATATGAGTAGTAAATACATATTAATATGAGTCATTTCTAAGATCCCACTGATATGAATATGAGTACTAAATACATATAAATTTAAGTCATTTCTAAGATCCCACTGATATGACGTATGAGTACTAAATACATATTAATATAAGTCATTTCTAAGATCCCACTGATATGAATATGAGTACTAAATACATATTAATATAAGTCATTTCTAAGATCCCACTGATATGACATAGGAGTACTAAATACATATTAATTTAAGTCATTTCTAAGATCCCACTGATATGAGTACTAAATACATATCAATTTAAGTCATTTCTAAGATCCCACTGATATCAGTATTAAATACATATTAATTTTAATCATTTCTAAGATCCCACTGATATCAGTATACTAAATACATACAAGATAGCATCAGACATACACTTTAAAACAATTATTTTCATGCATAGAATAATTTCAGCTCAATTGCAAAGGCCCGGACTTTGTGTAATACGTGCGATTAATTCAAATTTCAAATGAGCTCAGCTTTAGTTAATGATTATATGTTAAAAAATTAATTGTTTTGGCAGTGAATCAAAGCATAAATAATATGAACTGGATTTGAAAGCAATAGTGATGGAACTAGTGGGTATTTTGCAGAAGAAATAACACCATGAGTTATATTACAGCTTCTTCTATGGTCGTGCTAGCGACAACGAGACTCGTTGAGATGGAACCGAGAAAAGAGCGCTTGTTACAATACATTGAATTAAGTACAGTACCTATATTGTACTGTACTGTGCATTAAACTCAGTACAGTATATTGTACTGTGCATAAAACTAAGTACAGTATAAGTTTTCAATCTTACTGTGCATTAAACTAAGTACAGTATATTGTACTGTAGTGTGCATTAAACTAAGTAAAGTATATTGTACTGTAGTGTACAGTAAACTCAGTACAGTATATTGTACTGTGCATAAAACTAAGTACAGTATATTGTACTGTGCATAAAACTAAGTATATTGTACTGTACTGTGCATTAAACTCAATACATTTTATTGGTTTTGTCCACGCCAGTTGAGTCAAAGCAGCTACCATCACACGGTATTAACATGACTTAGAATAACACAAGGGCGGATAGAAATAAATAACATGCCATATTCTAAGATTATACTTTTCAAGTGCAAAATCCTTAAGGTCTTAAAAATAACTGGTCGTCTTCATACATAAAGTCTTTACCATTTCACTCCATGATTTTGCTGGTCCGCAAATAAAGTATCCTCGAAAAACTCAAGTTTTATCGAAAAGCATTTCACAATCGTTGCACAATAACGGCATACCTTAATTACGATATTGCCTTGAAAAGCTCACTTTTTATCGAAAATCATTTTAGAACCATTGCATATAAAACGGCGTACCTTAATTACGATGTTGCCTTTTCTGTTCATAGCTTCGATATGTCGCTGTTCCATGACCAGCACGAGCTTGCCGTCTTCTTCCACCTTCTGCGTGTTTTCTTCCCCCTGATGCAGGATGCTGTAGTAATCGCTCTGTCTGATGCACACGAACTGACAGTCATCCACCATGCTTCTCATGACGCCAACGTGGTGCAGCTTGTCCATTGTTGGAGGGATGCCGAAACTGTAGGATAAGATAAATAAGTTATACGTTTACAAGCCATCTTGGCTTATTTAATTTAATAACAGTCATCTACCATACTTCTCATCACGCCAACGTGGTGCAGCTTGTCCATTGTTGGAGGGATGCCGAAACTGTAGGATAAGATAAATAAATTATACGTTTACAAGCCATCTTGGCTTATTTAATTTAATAACAGTCATCTACCATACTTCTCATGACGCCAACGTGGTGCAGCTTGTCCATTGTTGGAGGGATGCCGAAACTGTAAAGCAAGATAAATAAATTATACGTTTACAAGTCATCTTGGCTTATTTAATTTAATAACGGTCATCTACCATACTTCTCATCACGCCAACGTGGTGCAGCTTGTCCATTGTTGGTGGGATGCCGAAACTGCGAAGCAAGATAACTAGATTTTGCGCTTCATACGCTAAATTATACGTAAGTCATCTTGGCTTATTTAATTTCACAGTCATTCGCTTATAACCTGTCATCTTTCCTATGCCGAAACTGCGAGGTAAGATAAAAAGATTATACGCTTGTCAGTCAGCATGGCTTATTTAATTTTAAATTGTACGCTTATAACCTGTCATCTTTCCAAATTTACGTTTACTCCTATACGTTTTCAGTAACTTATTGACGTCATTTGTGAATGCGAAGTCTAAAATTTATCGATTAATAAGTTTTTTTTTTTAATTTCGTATTTCCTAACACGTCCTGCGTCGACTAAATTTTAATCAAGACAGTACAATTGATCGCCGTGATTCGCTATTAAGCTTACAAACAGAACAACGTTATTCAAAGCTATCCTTCACTAGAATCGAACTAAATGAATCACGTTGGGAACGAATGAGATATAATTTAGTGAACGACACTTTTAGCGCGACTGTACGTAGAAAATCTCGTGCCCGACGAGTGAATGTTCGCAGTACATCGCGTGTTTATCACGTCTAAATGCACACGACACATCGCGTGTATCACGTCTTTGCATCAGTATTTTTAAAATATTGTTACTGTTAGACAAATATATTCGGGTATAAACGTGTACGTATCACGTTTTGATGTGACATCATCAAGCAACAGCATCAGAAGCAACATCAAGCAACATGTTGCTTGACAGAAGCAAGCAACAGCATCGTACATCAGGTTGCCCAAATGAGGGCGGATGAACGATAACCAAAGGCGGCAATCCATCGTGGCCTGGGACTGCTACGTCCCAAACAAATACTAAGGATACTAAGGCATCAAAAAAACCATGTCGTGTGCATAATGAAATGCACACGTAGCCTCACGTGCCCCACGTAGCCTCACGTGCCCCACGTGCCCCACCTGTCGCCGAGATGCAGCTCGTAGGAGCCTGTGCTCGTCATGACCTGGACGTGGCCGTTGATGATGACGCTCCACGAGTCCAGCTCCTCGCCGTCGTTCATAAGAACCGTGCCGGCGTCCTCGACCACCGCGAACACCTACAACAAATGGTGCCGTTACAAACAACCATAGGTTATGTTCACAACTTAAAAACAACCATATGTTATGTTCAAAACTTAAAAACAACAATATGTTATGTTCAAAACTTAAAAACAACCATACATTATGTTCAAAACTTTGAGATCTCGACCAATGCAAACACCTGCCATCCAATGGTGCCGTTAACAACTAGCATAGGTTATGTTCACAACTTAAAAACAATCATACGTTATGTTCAAAACTTTGAGATCTCGGACCAATGCCAACACCTGACAACGAATGGTACCGTTAAAAACAACCATACATTATGGTGCCGTTAAAAATAATCATGCGTTATGTTCAAAACTTTGAGATTTCGACCAATGCCCACACGTGCCAACAAATTGTACCGTTCAAACCAACCTCATGGTTTATTTAAGCTTTTGAAAAAGCGAACCACCAAATTGTACCGTTAAAAACATACGTTATGTTCAAGATTTTTAAAATGCAAACGCCGTAATGGTCGCTCAGGTTTGTTGAAACAATTGCTATATTGTCTTTTAGACTATGAACAATTGACGCATATTTATTCTGAAATATATTCCTTTTGACAGCTAGACTCTTCCAGAAGAAAAAAACGTTTTAATAAACGGTAGAAAAATGTTTTTTCATACAAATTTTTTCATCTCAAATGAAATGATAATCGCGACGACATATCATGGATACCAGCAACCAAAGTGTCATCACTGATCAATACAATTGGCACATGACTCCTCTGACAGCCTAAGTCTTGTCGGGAAAGGCAAGGAGTTGTTGGGTGGAGAGATTTACATAAACGTGACACTCAAGGAAGTGGATTGATGTCACTTAAAGAAGTGATTCAATGACACTCAAAGAAGGGAACCGAAGCCATCCAAAGAAGTGAACCGAAGCCATCCAAAGAAGTGAACCGAAGCCATCCAAAGCAGTGAACCGAAGCCATCCAAAGCAGTGAACCGAAGCACTCAAAGCAGTGAAGCGATGCTACCCAAAAAAGTGATTAAATGCCACTTAGAAAAAAGAATGCCTTACTAACCATTGCTTGACACACTCCCTTACTAACCATAGCTTGACACATGGCTCTTCTGACAGCCAAAGTCTTGTCAGCGAAGGCCTTAAGTCGCTGTGTAAACTCCAGCAGAACTTTGATGTCGTCTTCTGTTCGCTCGCTGGGATCCTTCTCCAGACACTCACGTACAGCGTCGCGCACGGCCATCGTCTGGGCAAACAGTACATTCTTTATAATTTGCAATACATTTTAATTGATAAAGCTTTATTAAAACAACGTCTGGGAAAAAAGTACATTTTTTGTAACGTGCAATACATTTTAATTCATAAAGCTTTATTAAAACATCGTCTGGGCAAACAGAACATTTTTTTATAATATGCAATACATTTTTATTAATAAAGCTTTATTAAAACATCGTCTAGGCAAACAGTACATTTTTTATAACGTGCAATACATTTTAATTAATAAAGCTTTATTAAAACGTCGTCTGGGCAAACCGTACAATCTTGATAACGTGCAATCCATTTTTATTCATAAAGCTTTATTAAAACTATAATATGAAGTGAAATGTCCTTCAGCAAGATAAGTATTTGAAGGCAGCAATGCACGCCACGCTCGATAATTTAGCAAGGATGGACGAACCAATGAAGATTTTATAGAACATCTTGACGCCTTTATAATAAATTAACTTAAAAGCGCAGATTAAATTACGGTTTAAGCCTGCAATTAATATAACTAATACCTCAATCTCCTCTGCTGAAAGAACAAATAATTGAAATGAGTAAATCACTAGGCCTTTTTTCGATAAGTCTAACTATTTCAAGAAGAATATAGTACCTGTATTTTTATCAAAAACTAAGAATTTCTTAAAGCATATGCTTGACATTCCATGAAAATTCTACTTTTGTTTATTGAAAGTAATATTTCGCTAATTACCTAAGTATTCTATCAGCAGTTCCCATAATTTCTCTTAACTCTGAGGCTACACAGTGCATATTTATAAACTTTTATAAATATATGCTTCTCTGTTAGAAAAATTACCGTTAACGGTATTACCGGCGTTTCAGTGGCCGGTCGGCAGGTGAAAAGAAACACCGTGTGGCCGTTTTTATTCTAATTTAACACTAGAAATCCGTAAAACATCTGATAAAAACGGCGAAACTGTTTATTTTCACGGGGCGACCGGCCACTAGAACGCCAGTGGAACCGTTTTTTCACCGTTATTTCTAACAGTGTGCTTCTCCGTTCTCACCTCAATGGTTTCTGCGAGATCTTCTTCGTCCGAGTCTACGACGCTCTCCATGAGCCCCGAGAGATCGACATCATCATGGTCGAGAGAGTGTACCGAGTGGCACATTGTATCTGACCCTGAGTACGCACTCGAAGTATCACTTCCTTCACGCCCTCCACTCGCAAGACTGCCCCGAGACCGGACACCGCGCACCAGGTCCGGTAAATAAGACTCTGAAGACTGCGAAGAGTTCCCAGTCATAGCTGGACCGGGACTGGTTGATGATACGTGTATGGGTTGTTGGTGTAATGTGTGCTCTGTGTTAATGGGAACGGATTGTGTGTGTGGTGCAGCACCACAATGGGGGTCATACTGATGATTGTTGTGGTGCATAGCACGATGCTGAGATGGGATATGTTGTTGCAGGGGAGGCGGCTCGTGGCTATGGGGTATAGGAGGTGGATTAGAACTTGACCGAGCCACGGCGCCATTAGAGGTGTGACGTTGTTGTGGTCCATAGTGCTGTTGGTGACGCGAGTTATTGTGCTGTTGGTGGTGTTGATGATGGTGGTGGTGCTGTTGAGTATGCATGTTTATATTATGGTAGTTGTTGCCGTAATGTTGTCTGTGTTGAGTTTTGTTGTCAGGATCCAAGGCTAAAAGTCGGTCTACGTTGAAGGGATTGGAGCCCGACCGAGCCTGATGTTGCTGCTGCTGCTGCTGGATGCCGATCCCAGGCCGCATAATCTGAACATCAGGGTAGTCGATCTGGAAAACAACGGAGAGTCAATGATATTGAAATTATTTCGTTATCAGTGAGTTCCTAGAGAGGAATAGACGAATTTTTTGGCAAATTGAAGAGAAAAAGCAGTCAATCTGTGGTGTCTGAACATTAAAGTACTTAAGATAAACTTCATACCTTAATTTATGAAAATTATTATAACAATGTCGTTAACAATGATGATTAATACACAATTATTAAATTCCCAAATACTGATGTAGAAGGCAGATCTGAAAATAATTAGGATTTTCAAAAGCTCCTATAAAAATAAAAAGGTGCTAATTCAAGGACTCTGTCGTTGTCTGCCAAGAGAACGACATCCTGCGAGGAGAGAGAACCGTATCCTGCTATAGGAATGTATCCGAAAAATAATGTTGAGCGCAAATTTCAATTAAAAGCCGTTTATTTCCACATTCATATAACCCGCCGTAATCTATCGTTGGCATACGTTAGTGCATATATAAATCCTTCAAAATCTTTAATAATAAAAACTTTGCGAACGCTCTTGAATGGAAAATAAAAATAATCGCATTAAATTTTTTCTCGATTCTTCCACCGATATAAAGTTAGTTAAAAATTGTCTTCCAGAAATGCACCTCCATACAACCAAACAAGATGGATACCGAAAAAATATAATGACTTATAAAAAAAGCAACATTTAGCTTGTCGTAAATAGGGAAGCAGCATTAAATTGACTTTTATTATGTATTAAACGTAAGCCTCGTCGTGAGCTGTCACACACACGCAGCAAGGCCGACCTGAGGGCCGCCCTGCTGTCCTGAGCAACATCGATCTCGAGGGCAGGTATACTGAGGGTAGCGACTCTTGTAAACCAATTGATGGTCAGCAGCATTAGTGGTAGAAGAGGCAGTGGTGGTGGTAGCTGGTATTGGTAGTCGTGGTACTAGTGGTATGGGTGGTAGTGGTGGTAGTAGTAGAGGTATGGGTGGTAGTAGAGGTATGGGTAGTAGCGGCAGGTCAATAGTATTCAGAGAGTCTATGTCAGTAGAATGAGTAAGTATATGGTAAAAGTGTCAGGTATGCTGTAAGCAAAAATGGTATATATAGAGGCGAGATTTGCAAAATAGCGGTAAAAGTATTGATACATATATAGATGTACTCACACACTAAATTACAGATACACAAACGAATTGATGCATAGAAGAACTGATGCATAGAAGAACTGATGCATAGAAGAACTGATGCATAGAAGAACTGATGCATAGAAGAACTGATGCATAGAAGAACTGATGCATAGAAGAACTGATGCATGGAAGCATCGATAGAGGAAGTCGGACTTTGTTATTTTATGAGTGCAGCAAGATGTGACGGCGAATAACGATGTCTCGTTGCATACGTTGGTCACAGAGCATTGGGGACAAATGTTTTACAGTTAGAGAAGCAGCGCAAATTTCGGTACCATTTAATTATCAGTGATGGTAATTAATCCATTAAAATGTGTAGGGTTCAGTATAATTCGAAGCAATTCAGTAGGTATCGGCGCTTCGCACATACCACTTCCTTAATTTCAGCGAACTTCCGGCGACGCAGTCTAGAAAAAATTGATGTTTTCAAGTTCAACAAACTCGAAGTTGAGAGAGTTGGACGGCTTCAACAACACATGAATACTGAAATGAAAAAATAATATACGAGAGGTTAGGATCAAATAATTGGGAATGATAAGACTTAGAACTTCAGTAAAGATCTTGCATCGAAGTCTTTAATACAAAAATAATAATAACAAAAAGAAGCCTAAATATATTTTGAAAATTTTACATAAAAACGAGACATTACAGCGTGTACAAAACCGAATAAGCTACTGTAGAACTGGTGCAAGAGTCTTGGTAGAATAAATACAGTAAACAACAGAAATTTAGAAAGTTTTAAAGGGCCAAAGACTGTCAAAAGACACCATGGGAGCGGGTAAGACTAGAGAACTTCAGTAAGACAATCCGACTGACACAGAATCACTTAAATGGAGGAAAACATTTAAAAATCTTCGAGCGGCGATTTTAAGCTGCCATTTGTACGTTTACGACTATTTTTTGGTAACATATGATTAACATGATAGACATAGTTAGGGCGCTCAAATGGCAAAGAATTATATACATTTTTGACAACCTGAATTCGAGTACGCTCATATCTACGATCACTGCAGAAGCCGTTGAAAATCGAATAAGCTTAAAACTGAAAAGAATTTTGCTATGAATTTATGTTTTCTCTTAGTGAAAATGATTGATTTTAACGCAGTTAACACTTAATTGATGTTAAATTACTGAGTTGTTATGTAGTTTGACAAAATGATTGATGTTAACGCAGTTAACAGTTAAGTGATGTTAAATTAGTGAGTTGTTATGTAGTCTGACAAAATGATTGATGTTAACGCTTTTAACAGCTAAGTGATGTTAAATTAGCGAGTTGTTATGTAGTTAGACAAAATGATTGATGTTAACGCTTTTAACACTTAATTGATGTTAAATTTGTTAGTTGTTATGTAGTTTGACAAAATGATTGATGTTAATTGAGTTAACAGTTAAGTGATGTTAAATTTGTGAGTTGTTATGCAGTTTGACAAGTATACATATTCTAACTACATAAAAAGCACTGCTATACGTTGCTATTTGACCTGGTGACCTTTGCTGGAGTGTAAGGCTGCGCACTAAAGAGGCTATGCGCGCTTGCTGGTCTCTCGCAAAATGCTGCCGCTTTTCGATTTGTGAGCCGCAGTTGTATATATATATCACTTGACAATATTAAAGAAAGTTTTTAAATTAAAATTGTAATTTTATATAAAGGGCATTTCCATTCGAGGTAAGTAATGCTAGGTGGCATTACGGGATTTGCGATATAACTTTATGAATACAGCATAAGCTTGACGAAAGTAATACGGCACCAGTACGACTATGCTAAACTGGCGTCAAAGAGACAACAATGTGTCACCAAAAAGGTGACGATGTGGCACCAACACGTCGACAATACGGCACCAGTCGACAACAATAAAACCTCTTATCAATACAGTTTTAGCATGGCAACAAAAATGCGGAAACAGTATTAATTCTAAAATATTTATAGACGACAGTAATACGGAAAACAAACAATGACAACAGTTCAAAATAGCAATTTGTTCATATACGTTTGGGTCATTCGAATTAATTCTGTTAAAAACGTCAAGCCGAGCAATCAAATTCTGTGACATCGCTGAAATGAATAAAAACCAATAAAACGATCACGAATAATTTTTGCACCGAAGCATTACCATGTGCAAAATTGTATGCGGTTATTCGTCATCGGTCGATATAGCACAGCATCTAAAAAATTATATTTGGGTAAAGGTTGCATGTAACATCAATAAGGAGGAAAAATTTACAATATTATGATTTTTAATTAAAAACGTACCTTAGATTTGCCGTGTTAAAAGAGACATATACTGCAACTGGATGGTCTTTGGTTTTGTCAAACTTAAGGTCTCATTCCCTTCGGCTTCATTCTCATCGATTTTAATTACTAATTCATCAAAAATTCAAGAGCGCTTAGATTTTATACACTCAGTCAAGTGTGTCAAAAGCAGGCCTCATTTTGTGGGCTTTCTAACATAAGTTTCAATTTCAAATGCACGCACCTTTCGTACGAATTAAGTAACACTTTTAACTACATACGAAATCTAAGTCGGAAGCCTCATATGCACAGACATGGAATTTTGTGAACAGTATCATTCCTGTCTACCTCATATAGCCGATAATTGCTCGTAGAGCTTCGTTGCATTCTTAAACTTGAAAAATAAAAAATCTTATCGTCAAGCTTTGGGCCCATACCTTCAAAAAAAGTTAAGAGATCGTAAGTTCATCAGCCAATCATTGACGGCCTTTCAAGCAAAATCCACCAATCATAGACAAGAAAATAGAGCGTAAGTACTTACGTTCACTTAGCGAGTTTTGAAAGTATGGCCCCATGCCCATAGAATCCAACAACATCTGATTGTAAAATTGTCATGTTTCTTACAAAAGTAACATAATCGTGAAGCTTCGTGGTTGATACAATACTTGATCTTAAAGCATACCGTACATATAAACCACAGCGGTAAAATCAAGGCTATGAAAACCGCATACCGTACAGAGACAAATTAAAAGCAGAGTAAAAATATCGATGGCGAACACTTTGGCAGCCAGAGGCCTCGTAATGTAGTCCTAAATTTCCAGCATGATAGAACAGAAAAACTTATCAACACTTTAAGAGTGAATCGCTATCAGATGATAAGTTATTCGTATTTATATCGCCATATATATGGTGTTAGGCACTGTAATCTAAATCCGTCTATATTAGTAATTTTAGAATTCGTAAAGTACTTCATTATTCGAATTAAGATACTGAATTACATGTCATTACAACCGTTGAATGAATGAAGAAAAATCTCTAAATGAATTCACCGACATTGAAAACAAAAGTCGATATATATCTTATATACCTAGTAAATAAAATTCGAATGCTAAGCGATTGTTTCACCGAAACTAAGAGTACCAAATTAAAGGATGCACGAAGAACTGATAAGAGAACTACACAGAAAAAAAGGGGAGTGCCAACACACAATTCCAGTGCCTGTTTTGGGACAAAAAAAAAAACGGAATACCTATATGCACAAATGCAGAGCGCTCAAATGTCAAATACAGATAACAAAGTTAAATACGACAATAAAGAGACAATAAAACGAGAAAGTGAAAACACGAAGTCCCGTTCACATAACAATCCTCTGTTCACCGCGGACACTATTTGAGGGCAAAACTCACCATAACCATTAGTGGCACACTTTTAATTGAAATAAGAGTGAGTAATTCATGGATAAAATACAACCAAAATACATTCTAGGCACTGAATTCTCTGTATAAAATCCCATGACTGGCACTCCGATGTAATGGCTGACGTACGCAACAAGAAACGCATACACATACATCCACCACACACATACACACGTACATCCACCACAGACGCAGCGCTACTGATGAACTTCCCTCAGTCTGACCCTCACTTCAGCGTACAGTAGAACGGAGGACAGCGATAACGGGGAGGCAGATATATAAGCGCGAAAAGAGAGCTGGGTCTCTCTTCCGCTCTCGCTCGTCGAACCTCAGCAAACGTTGCTTTCGGTTCATTCAACGCTCCATGTATTCAATTCATTTTAAAGATAGCGTCACAAACTTAATGTGGTTTCAATTGAAATACGTAAGAAAATATTGTCAACAGACAGGAGTGGTTACTCGTACTAATATATTAATTAGAGTTACACTAGGACTGGCCAAGAGCAAGCACAAGTCTCAAAGGACACGTCTCCTTCAATTGGACGCCTGATAGCGAGTGCAACATCAACAAGTATCGATCAGAAATTTCGACACCTACGAAGAATACGCCTACGCAATTTATACGGTCACGCGAATCTAACATTTTATCAAGAACTTCGTTTAGGCTCTTGAACAGAGGTAATTCAAGGTCTTCGTAATTTGTTATACGACAATTTTTAACACAGCACATCGCCTACAGATGTATCGATGGTTTCCAGTTCTTTAGACATTAATATAATTCCAGGCTTGCATATATGCTCAAGCTGGAAGCACAAGTACAATGGAAAGAAAAAAAATATAACTAAGTACTCACTGCAGTGAGTGACAGAGAGCGCATTTTCTCGTCGACGAAAACTTGAGGTCACGGACGGACGGGCGGACGGACAGACAGACAGACGGACGGACAGACGGACAGACAGACAGACGGACATGGCGAGCCCAATAGTGCATTTTTTCTATAAATGAGAAAATGCGCTAAGAACATACAATTCAAGTTAAGCTCCGTTCTTCGTTAACAAATTTGCTAGTATAAGGAGGCGTTACATAGGCAATTGCTTATGCAATAACCAGGTTTACCTCATTTGGAAGCGTTTAGCAACAATCATGCATTTGTTTTAATGAGAATATACATGGGCTTTATTCTTCCTGACCTTACTGTTCTCAAGCGCTGGACGTGCAACACATGTAGCATACGCTAGAGTGTGTATATAATACGCATATAAAATTTATGGAGACTTGAGGGAGGGTAATTTTCGACACAATCCCTGAACTGTAATCCACAATACCCAAGAGTAAGGGTACGCACACAGTGAAAGCAGGTTGCCAGCGTGCTGGTTACCTGCACAGGCTGGCGCCTGAAGCCATAGACTACAGAAGCCTATTCGTACAGGTTTTCACTGTGAATACTTACATTATTATCCTATGTTCATTCTTGTGGCAGGTTGGAGCAGGTTGCCCGCGCTGGCAAACCTGCTTCCACTGTGTGGGTACCCTAACGCTGGGATAATTCTAAGAAGATCAATTCGGTCGCTGACCTCGACAAAGAGGTAAATGGCACTTTAAGAGCTACGTAGCTATGAAGACAGGTAATTATGAAGAATTAACAGTGATCTTCTAGAATGTAAGATGAAAATCGTTAAGATTATGCTCCGCGCACAAAGGCTAAAGACAATCACGAAGAATAAGCAATAGTTCGTGGGATTTTGAGCAATCACGTTTCTGAAGATGCGGTTTTACCTTATCGTCACCTCATCCGATGGCAGGAGGGGGAGAAGAGAGCTCGGCCGCACCCACGCGTATAAGAGAACAACCTGGGCCCATACTTTCAAAAAAAGTTAAGAGATCGTAAGTTCATCAGCCAATCATTGACGGCCTTTCATGCAAAATCCACCAATCATAGACAAGAAAATAGAGCGTAAGTACTTACGTTCACTTAGCGAATTTTGAAAGTATGGCCCCTGGTAACTTAGGAAATTGCAGAGAGCAAACAAGTAATCTCGGTAAGTTTCAGTGAACGAAGAGGCGATATCAGGAATTGTAGAGAGCAATCTAGGAATCTTCGGAATCATGTGAACAAACTCAAAATCCCAGGAACAAAATAAAAAAAACTGCCCGAAATTGAGGAAATTGCAAAAAAGAAACCAGCAAAGTTTAAAATCTCAAAAGGAAAACAGCGAGCTCGACAAATTGCAAAGAAATACCTATAATAATTCTGGAGATTGTGTAGAAAAAAAAACGTTGTATATCATGCAAACTGAGGTCGATTTAAGCATCCATCCTTCTGTTATTTTTTTGTACGCAAGCAAAAACTAGCAAGATAAAGAATAATTTTTTGGAAACAATTCTAAATGAAAATAATACAAAAAACATCATATTTTATTAAATAATTGAATTTTGTGATTGCCAACGTATTAAACAAAGTGATAATGCAAAATAATACATTTTAACAAAACACGAGCAACAATATTAATACCGGTATATATTAAATTAACTATAATCAATCAAATTGCATTCAGGAATGTGACATGAATTGAACACATCACTCGCAAGAGTCAGAGAAAGCAGAACTAATCAATCAAATTGCATTCAAGAATGAGACATAAAATGAATACAATAATACATCAAGTTTCATTCAAGAATGTGACATAAATTGAATACATTACTCGTAGGAGTCAGAGAAAGCAGAACTAATCAATCAAATTGCATTCAAGAATGAGACATAAAATGAATACAATAATACATCAAGTTTCATTCAAGAATGTGACATAAATTGAACACATTACTCGTATAGGAGTCAGAGAAAGCAGAACTAATCAATCAAATTGCATTCAAGAATGAGACATAAAATGAATATAATAATACATCAAGTTTCATTCAAGAATGTGACATAAATTGAACACATTACTCGTATAGGAGTCAGAGAAAGCAGAACACGCACGACAGAGCAGGGACATATTCCACATGAGCGATCGTCAAGGCCAGCACAGGAGCGAGGGCTGGTCGGGAGGTGTAGGCCTGAGACGTGGCATCTGCATGACATCACGTGGACGACGACGCACGTGACCACGAGCACCGCAACGACGCACGTGCTCGATCACGAAAAGCGGAATGACGCACGTGGTCGATCACGAAAAGCGGAACGATGCACGTGGTCGATCACGAAAAGCGGAACGACGCACGTGCTCGATCACGAAAAGCGGAACGACGCACGTGCTCGATCACGAAAAGTGGAATGACGCACGTGATATACCAGCACGGAGCACATGAATCGTGTCACTCGTGCTAGTCGCCTACACATGGATTCAACATATTGCTGACGAATTCGTACGAATTCGTTGTGTAGCAGACGAATTCACATGAATCATATCATATCTTTTCGGACACGATCACATTATCAGTAGCGCATCTACGTCGCCTCTCCTTTTAATATGAGTAAGACAATCTGACCTCATACACGCGTATCATTTTGTTTACAGCTACAAATCCTAGACATATAGTGAAGCCAGCGTTGATGATTAACTTGTTCCAACCAGCAGGGCCAACTCTCTGATTTCGACCACAATTTTCACGACTAGCAGAAGGTCTGGAACTTGCAACTCGCTGCTCCAATGTTGGCTATCTTAACCAGTGGGCTACCCCATATAAATGACGTCATGAACATTTTAAACAAATACATCAATTTGATATGGTAACCTTTATTCTCTATTAACACTAGTAGAAGCGATCGAATGGCTACATAGCAGGTTACATAATCCATTATCTTCTTTGGGCAAACGAGTAGAATTCAAGTTGAAAACAAAGTTAACAGAAAAAGGGCACACAAGTTAAAATACAAACGAAACCTAGGGTAAACATTTCATTCCAAGAGTAAACAAGGAACTATTGCGATTTTTTTTCTCTCACCGAAAATACATTTAACTGTGGTGTGGTCAGATGTAAATGGGTCGTAACAAGGAGTGCATTTAATTTTGCATTCACAAATCAATGTTTCTATAATCGCTCAAGTATTGTTAGGGTAAGATTCTTAGTTCAAAGTGGATGTTGGCCTGAAGAATGAAGAAAAGAACGAAATAACTGGTTACTCTGCACAACAATGATATAATAAATAAATAGATGAATAAATTGCATGCATACATTGATCAATAAATAAAAGATGAAGTCTAGACGATGCAAGCACAACAATTATATAGTAAATCCAGCAAAGTGTAAATTTGATACATTGATCATTAAATAAAAGATGAAGTCTAGGCGATGCAACTCACCGCGATGACGGACGAGGTCTCCAGAATGAGGCACTCGTTAGTGCGTCGGCGACCGCCTCCAGAGGGCTTCCCGAAACTGCAATGAAAAATGGAATGCGTTGAAATTTTTTTACAAAGTTTTGTTGAAGGGAAAACTGCGCAATTTTTGTTACAAAAAATAATGCATAGAAATTTGATCCAGGATAAAAAAAAAACAAGAAAGAAGCCATATACTTACAGATGGAATGGCAGAGGGAATGGAAAGACGTTGGAAATTCGAAAAATCAGATCGATATGTGCCTAAATATGACGTTGTCTTTCTCCAATCGTTAGCGCGATTTTTTTTCATTGTTAGCTTAATAACAAAGTAAAATATAATGTCATGGCTTTGGTATGCATCAAAAGGTTCTTTATATGGGATACCCGTGAATAAATACCACTATAAAGTAGATTGCGAATAGAAAATTAAATACATCAGTGTCGAATATTACATTTTAAGCGCCATAATAAAATGACAAATAAATGCTCGACATCCGAAAGCGATACAGTGTATATAAGGAAGACTGTTATTTTCTCCTTGCACTTTTCGAATTTAGTTAAGACGCGTGTTTGTGAATAGATCCAGTGGGAACAGCGTCATATTTTCAACATAAGATTAGCGACTGAGTCATTCTAAACAATAATGATTTAATGAACGATAATGATAATAATGAACAACATCATACCAAAATTTTTGAGAATAATTCTATTGAGCAACGTACTTTCTTTCTAGTAATAATTTTTATTCCTGTATTGATCCCTCGCTGGAAGATTGGAACCCATCGCTATCAATAGGCAACAGTTTCTAAAATTCTGCGGACAATATCACAGTTACCCCAAAAGTCGCTAGTTTTCTATAGGTCGCGCTTGGCCCCCGCCTCTCCTCACCCCTACAGCTTCACTACGCCCGAACGCACACTCTTTTCTTAAACTCTTCATGGAAATAATCTAAAAAAGCAATTCTGATAATAAGATAAATTTAAAAGAATCACGGCATTTCATAGATCAAACTAAAGAATGAGGAAAATAAATTGAATTATTGAATTGAAGCTCTGACAATTGAAAATGAGTTGAAACAAATGAGGTTGGGGGTTGGCGCCTACGCATGGCCTCCCTCATCTGGAGCCCTGCGCATGCAGAGCGACGCTGGCTTGTGCTCCGGAGTATAGAGGATTTAAATCTTCCATGAAGGATCGCTCCAGGCTTACGCAGGGTCTTGTCATCCGCTTTTATTAGCTTACAGAAAAACACACTCATCAAAATAATAACTTAGAAAATATCTATAAAGTAAACAATATGATATTTGAACTTAATTCAAGGTAGATGCGGAGTTAAAATCAATAATAAATGATATTCCAACGTTAACTTATCATGAAATTCGCGTAAAAATATAATGACAACAACATATAAATTTTTTAGAGCAAAAAACATGATGGTAAATAAAATGTAGCTCATTAATATTCAACTTTTAGTGCTCACGTTCATTTTGAACACGAGTCATGATCATGAGTATTTGCCTGCATGAAATCTATGGGGGTATCAGTCGAATTATTAATATATACAAACACGATGTTAAACAAATCAATTTAACGGGATGCGTAGCTCGAATGAATTGATGCTATTGTTGGAAGATGTGATGATGTTACACGCGGAAATGATGCTGCAAGTTGTGGTGATGTTGCAAGTGGTGGTAACGATGTTCCACGTAACGGCGATGTTACAAGTGATGCAAAGATGGTTTTACAACAATTGCAGGGGTTACAACGTATTCTGTGTTACGAGGTTACAAGTCATTACACTTGTTATTATTGTTGAAATGTGCCTTTAACTTGCAAGGTTATGTAAAACTTGATATACGGTAATCCAAGTCAAAATACATTCAATTAAACCCGATCAATAACTGCAGAATGCATTGCATGATTTACATTGCATGATCGTGTGAATTTCGTGATCACAACTGTAGAAGCAAGTGTCAAGGGATCGAAGTTTGACGGCTGAAAGTTCAACCATGGTTGAACTTTAACTCTACTTTAAAATTCCCAACCACGTACTGCACCACTTCTTCTGAAACAACGTATTTCTGTACCAACGCGTACGTTGTTCCAAACCCAAGGGCAAAAGGAAGATACAATCAACGGAGTGATGTTATCTAAGGCGAGGTGTTGTCAAACGGCAGATATACACTACTAAAAAACTAAATCTAATGTACATAACTAACATTAACTAGTCTATGGCTTTGAACGTACCGGAAAAGAGCGAAATCTCCATATGAAAGATATCATCATAACATAAATGCAGTCATGGTCACTACGTTTTCTGCGAAGCTGCGCAAGGGAAAATGCATGGGTGTATCGTATCGCCTATAGTGGCCGAGGCCACGATTGTCAAAGATGTTTAAAAATCATACTAAAGTGTACAATTTTTAAATTCCGAATAACAATCGTAGGCAGGGATGTACGTATATCTGCATATCAGTGCACAATGTTACCTTAGCTAAAGTCTAAGTAAATAGTACTAGACTGGAGTGCACTGGGGTAAATTACCAGTATATGGGGTAATATTTGCCTGTTAAATTATCCTGGCAAATTGCCGTAACCCTGCGTTAACAGAGGGGTATCGGAGAGAATTAACTATCGCGATCATTTTTAATCTAGCCACAATTATAACTTTTGACCATTTAACGTGCAGAATTTTACTTGCTGCATGCGGAATTTTGAGACAACCTAAAAGATTTCCAGTCACCGTAGCTAGAGACAGCAGTTTAGAGCAGTGTAGAACAGTACAGTTCTACAATAAAGAAAATTGTAGCTGAAATATACAAACGGAAACACAATTAAACTGATTAGAATTTGCACCATTAACCAATATGGTTGATGCCATGCCAACCAATGATGGAACAATAACTATTAGATATCAGTCATGGTAGATCAGGCAGCTTTATTAGTAGCGTCGTATTTTTTGGCATTGGCACTATCAAGATCACTAGTAGGTTCAGCGTTAAAAGAATAGAAAAAATAGTGATACTTATTACTTATTATACACTACGTCACCATGAGAGCGTCGGCTGAGGTTCTACCTCGTGCATTAACAAATATAACAAAATAAGGGTAAAAATATCAACATCATCAGTACTTTCACGAACAGTAAGCCAGCTTTAGCATCAGCACTGCAGCTAAAATAACTCACGAGGCCGCTCTTCGGGGTATGGGATGTGAATGTGGTGATACAAGGAACTATAAGGATGGCCTGAGACCCGGAGCAGGATGAGGAGGATGAAGGGATGAGGGAGGGGAAGCGATTATGGGATGTGAATGTGGTGATACAAGGAACTATAAGGATGGCATGAGACCACATGAGACCCGGTGCAGGATGAGGAGGATGAAGGGATGAGGGAGGGGAAGCGATTATGGGATGTGAATGTGGTGATACAAGGAACTATAAGGATGACATGAGACCCGGAGCAGGATGAGGAGGATGAAGGGATGAGGGGGGGAAGCGATTACGAGGGCAGGGCACATTAAAGGGAAAGTACGCAACTGCAGCGAGATTTGCACCACGAAGCAGCAACAGGTATCCTTGCCGCTCGCGCCTCATGGAAGTAACGGCGCTAAGATATTGAATATTCAAAAGTTCCAAGATCTGAATATTGATATTGCCTGTAGATGTAATTATACTAGTTAAAACATAGCGGCAAACAGGGTTTGATTTATAACGTTCAAACCATAACATTCGTTGTCAGTGAAACGAATTTCAAATATCCAAGGAATATCGATACCACTTACCAGATATTAATACATAAAATATTAAAAATGGCATTCATATGATATTAGCTAGAAAGAATATGAACATCTTTTAAATGATCCCCGGGGCCGATGCCATAGATTTATTGCACGACGCCCGCTTCTTCCGAGCCTGGGCCCATACTTTCAAAACTCGCTAAGTGAACGCAAGTACTTACGCTCTATTTTCTTGTCTATGATTGGTGGATTTGGCTTGAAAGGCCGTCAATGATTGGCTGATGAACTTACGATCTCTTAACTTTTTTTGAAAGTACTCAAAGATAAGAGCGTATCCTCAGCCTGAGCTCCATGTGATGGACGTTTTCGGCCGTGAGAACATTCCATCTGATATACGGTGACAGTAGTGAGATATAACGCTGAGATTATGCTCATATCACTCAAATTAATCGTAAATATTTTGAACTCTTGTCAACGGACATTGCGTTAGACATTCGAAATTTAACAATCGTCAGCAATTTCAGGTCCTGCGTGTCAAATTTTTGATAAATGGCAATTATGCATCTGCAATATTAACGAAATTATTCATCCATAGAAGAATAATTTTAATTCAAAGAAATTAAAAAAAGTATTAAAATGAATAAAATATTTATCATTTGAATTTTCATTTCATTCAAATGAATTGACCAGGCGAAAAAAAAATCAAACAAAAAGCGAGTGGTTTCCACTGATTTTATATCCAGCGTTAATTTTTCAACGTCTCTTCATTCAAATGGCTTGGCCTGGAAAAAAATATGATTCAAACAAAAAGCGAGAGGTTTCCACCGATTTTATATTTAGCGTTTATTTCGATTCTAAGTCAATGTCTCTTGTATTACCTGGAAAACCGCATGTTCGCCGTATAATCCACCGTCATTTGAGCGACAAAACTTGCGACGCACCCTAAGCTCCGGGTACCCACTAAAAGTACAAGCAATATCAGAAAAAGTATCAAATAATATGTTATTCATTAGCACAACAATCGAGCGGTAACACCCACCACGAAGAGAATTTCCGAGAAACAGAGAAAGCCTCGTTGCTGGATGTAGAAGTAGGTAAACGATCAGGGGCATCGTTGGCGCTGAGTCTGCGTTCGCGGTGCGAGTTCCAGCGTTTCAAAATTGTGCTCACTCTGAGCGATGCGTCTCCTGAGACGCTGCTCGCGACGCTACCACTGCTGCTGCTACAACTGCTCACGTCGCTTACGGTCAAACGTGATTCAAAAACAACGTCAGTGCCGCTGGAAGGAGTTGAAGCACACCGGT